AAGCTGCTGGTTGTCACCGACTCAGCAGCGGCTGTGAGAAGGAACGGAGCGTTCCTCCTCACAGCCGCCAGTGACAGCCAGCAGCCTGGCTGTCCGAGTCAGATGCCATAGCGACCCAGGCGGCCCGCACGGCATCAGGGAGATGTCCTGACCGGGCCCCGACGTGCCCCGGGCCCCATAGCGGCCGCCTGGGTCGTTACGCCACTCGTTACGCCACTGCCGCCTGAGGTGACCAGCTCAGGCTGCCTCGTTACAGAAATGGCCCTGCTGCTCATGTTGACTGTAGACTGTTCATAGATTTCTACATTATATCGACCAAATGAGCATACTGGGACTAGATCCTTTCTGATAAAAGAACATCCTAACAAATGTTATTATCAGTAACACAGTTATACTCTGCAGGCTTCCAAGCACCTAATTATACTTTCATGAAAGGGTATCTAAACCCAAAGGCAAAAAGCTAATATACTGCAACTTAACCAATCCTTAAATGTGGTGGCTGCATTAGATTTATTTTTTAGGCTTTTTTTTTTCTTTATGTTCACCTGGTGATCCGGCCACATAAGTCTGTTATTTTCAACTTCCTTTAACAGACCAAGCTGTCCAGCCAGTGGCAGGTAGAGGGTTGAGACAAACATTTATCACTGTCAGGGATGCTTACAATGGTCAGCTTTTATTAATTAAAAGTAACCTTAATCCCAAAAGGAAAAACTACTTGTGTTACTACTTAAAAGTCTGAGCTGTAGATTTAATTTGTTAGTCCATCTAAATCTGCTAGTAAATCTAATCTAATACTACTCTCTCTACGAGTTGACCATTCTGCTGTCCAAGGGAAGCTCCATTGCTCCTCCATGGAGTGGAGCCACCCTAAGACAGCAAGTGTGTTACTTGCCGGATCACCAGGTGAAAATGAAAGCAATAAATAAAGCATAAAAAAGAAAACAAATGCAGCAACCACATCTAAAGAGTGGTAAACTACAATATATTACATTTACATTGTTTTTGAGTTTAGATTCACATTAAAGTGGAAATAACATTTAGTTTTCCAAGTAAGCTCTAGGCAATGTATTTCTTTTTGTTTTATATACAGAGTTTGAAAAATGAGAATAAGCTGTTTGGTTATTTCAACTGCTGCTACTTTGCTGCATATGTATTCGATTTACCATTAGCTCCAAGTCTAGGTCTAAAATAATCTTCTTTGGTCAATGAACGTAAGATATTTTTCCATCCCCTCTTTACAAAAATCCATCAAATGCAATTCGTAGTCCAATTCAAAGACTTAGAACGCACCTTGCCAAGAATTGCTCCTCGGTCGTCCATTTTCACAGACATCGGAGACATTTTTGGTGTCGGGTATCCTCTCGCTCCATGAGTGAGACAGACCATTCGATCTGAAAACAGAAGACATACCACTGAATCCTTCCACATATAGTGATCACAGCCATGCCCGTGATTATTACACTAAACAAACATCACAAAGACAACACATAATAACAAGAACATATAAAAGAATAATAATAAACTAGACAAGATCACAAAGACATCTTTTATTTGTTATCTATTATCTAACAAGGTAACCACTATCTAAACATTACAGGTAGCTATTCTGTGGACTTCAACAATATTACAAAACATATGGGCAATTATTTAACAAGGAATGAAGGACATTTTCCCTGATTGCCTCCCCCCATTGCCTCTATTCAAGCTTAACCCCATTGCCTCTATTCAAGCTTAATAACATGCATTCTTAATGCTACTAATGTCAAAATAAAGAAATACTTGAGCCAAAGCTCAATGTAGGTCAGCTGAATCACTAAGAGTCTATTCAGGGACTCTTCTTTTGAGACCTATGCTCCTAAATTCCCAGTTCTAACTCCTTGCTGCTTCCACTATGAGTAGATTCCTTTCTCCTTATTGAGTTTTATTTTTTTTATACTATAAGGAATGCAGCAGTAGGTGTATGCATTGGTGTGTATGGTGGTAGGGCAGGGTAGGAAGGGCACAATTGGGTAAGTTCGGACGGGTACGTCACTGCTGGAGTCCCTGAAAATTTTTAAAGGAAGGACAGTTTTGCCATTTTTGGTGGGTTAAACTGACATTTATTTGTCAGTATCAGTAAACTGGCTTGAATAAATTATTTTCTCTGTCCAGTAGGCTGCCTGAATGGATTGCAGATACCTGCATGTGCCATTGTATAGAGTCTTCAACCCCCCAGGAGCCTCTTAAACATAGAAAGCTCAAATATGCAAATCTTATCTTTTGCTGATGAAATAAAGAAATGGCAGCACCATCTCTACCACCTCAGCAAGAGGGGGACATTCCCAACTTTTTAAGAAAAGGTTAAGATTTGCATATTGAATCATCCGAAGATAAGTGGCTTCCAGAATGCTGACATATAAAAGGTAAATGCAGGCACCTGAGATTGCATTAAGGCAACAGCTTTATAGAGAGTTCTGCACTTTGAGCTCCAACCAAAATGTCTTCTTTTACCTCCCGATATGGTGTGAAAGTCTAATCCTTTTTAGGTCTTGTGTTCTGTGGTTTAGTTAGAAAGATTTCCCCTATTCCAAATATTCCTATGAAAACAGGTCTCAGTTGTAAGCTGACTTTCCTGTTTCTCCGCAGAGGGTCATGGTCACCAGCATTATGTTGCATTCATAATTAGTATACGGTATATGAAACCATATACCTGGAAAAATCATCCTCATTTAATTCTCTTCAAAAGAGAACTATGGGGTAACCTTTTTATCTCATAGTTCTCTTTAGGGTCACTGGAGGACATATACTAACCTCATCCGGTGACCCAAAGCTCAGTATATAGCAAACTATTGCCCGCAATATACTGAGAAAGCCACAGCCAGGACAGATCCCGACAATACTGTTGAGATCCACCCAGCTGGTTGAGTGATAGTGGGCTCTGCCTATCTAGAGGCAGAGCCAGCTGTGCCCACCCCCTCGCCGTCCGTCCCTCCAGTCAGCGCCGGAGGATCGGAGAGGGGAAGAGGAATCCCTGTGGGGAGCGGTGACTGACAGTCAACTCTCTCTGGAGGGAGATGATCAGGAAGTGATCGAGCGACGGTATGCGTTCGCTCACTTCCCGATCTATAGAGCCGACCTGTGACAGCTTTATTGTCACACGTCGGCTCTAACTATGAGGGTAAGTTTAAATCACTCACCTCATAGTTCTCCTTTAAGGGAACCATCAGGTGAAATTCAATAACCGCAAAAAAGGCCAATGCCCATAAGTGGACAATTATGTCTCTTAATCGTCATAAAGCTAACATGCCAGTATAAAGATCCTTATTTTCAAAAAATGGCAGCTATTTCCAGCTAAATCTAGTGAAAATTTAGTCACATGACCTGAAAATAGATCATTAGCCTTGTAAACTGAGCCTATTATTTGCTACCTATGTACAATAATTTATTGATATGTGCATTTTCAAGCATACAGGGGGAGCAAGCTGTAGATGGCTGAACATGATCATACTGTTCTTGGGTGTAAGTGATAATAAACACAGCCTGCTATTGCTCCGCAGTTCATGGTAAGTCTCCCTGATGAAAAGTTTATTACTGTCTGATCAGGACTTAAAGTTGAACTCAAGGCAGACAGAAAAGACACAAATTAATGCAGCTCTCTATTTAGTATTAGATCACTAAACGTATTTGTTAATGCAAGCAGTGAAAGTACCTATTGAAATCCCATGTACAGCAGAGCTAAGTGTGGGAGAGGGAGAAGCAGCTGCATTTTACAAGGAACAAGTGAATAAGAGGCGAAAGCAAATAAGAGATGAGCACATAATTCTGCTGCTTCTCCTTTCACTGTCCATTCACAGCCTGGGGAAGCTATAAGATCTGTAAGTGTTACTTCACTGCAGCAGAGAAAAATTAGGTCTTCCACCCTGCCAGACAGGGCTACGCCATGTGGCAGAGCTATATAAATCTCAGGACTAGATAGACCAAAACACATATCCTTGGGCAGGCAAAATAGCTTTGATATATGTTTTTGTTTTTGCCAATGTGTCCAGCACTGTTTCACCATTGTGTCTAGCAGTTTGCCTGTGGAATTTTAGATCTTTTTTGATACAATGAACTGGAGAAAATTTTAATAATGATGTGTCGGCACCTTAAAAACCCCAGCTATAGTCAAGTTCTGTATAATGTCAATATCTCAGGAGTTATATATCAGGAGTTAAATCTTAAAAAAATAATTCAAGTATCTTAACTATTAACAAAAATGTATCTTATTTGTGTATCACTCGGCTGTAGATCCTCAAATCATCTCTGAATTGGTGCCGACACTGTCCTTCCTTCTGGAGGGGGGATACTTTTGTTCCCCATGGTCCCTGTGTGTGTGTTGTATTCCAAGCTCACTCCCGTGATGGACTATAATCTCATGTTTAGTTTACTAATTTGTAGGGAGCAAGCTTGGATCAGTGACTACTTTACAACACACACAGGGACCATGGGGAACAAAAGTAATCACCCTCCAGAAGGAAGGACAGTGTCAGCACCAATTCAGAGATCATTGGAGGATCTACAGCCGAGTGATACACAAATAAGATCCAGTTTTGTTTATAATTAGGGTACTTTAATGCATTTTTAAGATTTAACTCCTGAGTTTAGTGTCACTTTAAGTACATATGTTTGCCTGGAGTTCATCTTTAATGAAGGCCCCCCTTCCTCCCCGATATATGGGTACTGTCTTTATTAACTTCACTCTAGTCTCTAGTTCCTTGATAAACTCTCATTCTACATCATGATTGCTTTTGCAGTGTACATACAGTGAATACACTTATATGCAGATCTGCAGTACTTGCAAAGCCCCAAAAGTCCCCCCTCATGAACTACAGCACTTGTTCAGTTACAAAGGAGCGTGCCTTGATGGTTGATTGAAGGATAACAAGGCCAGCTTTGATTTTGTAAGTGTACACGAAACACAGAGACAGAGAACAATTACAAGTGGCATCATTCATAACCTCAAAGACACATTAGTTTCTCCTATTCTAGAAAATGACTCTCCTTCTGGTCTGAACCAAAGATCTTCCCATAATAAAGCCTTATTAGCTCTATGAACAGTACTTGATATCTTAGAGAACGTAGAAGCATGCTTGTCTGATGTGGAACATAATGGTGCCCAGCATGCAAAGATTTTATGACTGTCTGTGTCCCTGCTGAAAATATTTGCCCTCTGTGACTAATGTCACAGAACTGAAAATGAAAACAAAAACCAAAATATTTTAGTTGTCACTAGAACAGGAACAGAAGAGTAATCTTCCAAAGGGGAAAACGTGTTGTAGTGACAACTGAGAGGCAACTTTACTCACTTGGAGTGATTTCCTCTCACTTCCTGATGTGTCTACAGGACAGAAAGTGAACAGAAATCCCTTCAATGGGACAAAGAAAAAACAAACTGATGGGTTTTAACTACTCCCTTCCCTATCAAAAACTAAAAAGACTTTAGATCTACTTTAATGATCTGAATAAACTTTTTGCTGTCCCAGATCTCAGTACTGCACTGAAACCTTTGGATAAATCACTTTATTTTCTCATGCAACAGTCACTATAAACACTATAAAAGTCATTGCATATTATTACATCAATTATCTCTTTGACTATAAAGTAGCAGGTTGACAATAAATGACAGCTTCCGAGAATGAACAATATTGTGCCTTGTCTGTCCAAGACAGCGAATAACAAGAACAATTTACAACAGATTTATAATGATGAATAATCTGATGGACTAATGAATGTTTTGCAAAATTAAAAGATACTTGTAATAGCCAATTCAAATGTCTTTAATCACTATCTGTCACACATCACACAGCAGCGGCGCACTTATTGCCAGCTGGTTTAATGCTTCAAACAATACATTGCATCAATCCAAGAGAAACGAGAGACAAATCCCAAGCTTCCAGTGATTGTGCTTATTGTGTTTAGAAAAGTAGCTGCCAGCACTGTGTGTATGTAACATAAGCGCACACAGTCATTTTGTAGCCATCATAACGCTGAAGGTAGTAGAGGTGAATTCTGTGCTCAGTTCTTCCAATGATGAACATTTCAGTGTAGTTTGGAAGTGTTTTTGGAGCATTTTACCATTGATTACACGTAGGAGTCTTTTTATAAACAATTTGCAGAGCCATTCGCCCTGCAAATCTCTGGGAACGTTCATTCTTTGTGAATAGAGGCAAAAACAAACATTTTTTTTTCAGGTCAGATGTAATATAATGTAATACTGTATTATGGCCACTAGATGAAGCTGAAGAGCACAGGAAATAAGTATTTATTTCCTATGACTTTCAGTTCTATCTAGAGTTCCAAAGGGCCTGGCCTTGGTTGTTTGTTGACATCCTGCGTCGGAGAGCTCTTTTTACAGAGCTCGTCTCTCAGCTGGGAGACAGAGGTACGCGAATCCCATAGAAGTCAATAGGGATTTACCTCAGCCAAATGATGTCCACAAACAACCGAGGCCGGGCCAGCTGGAACTTTGTAAGTATTTATCTCTGCATGAGGAGGGAGGGAACTGTGATTTCAGCTTAAAGGGTCCTAAAAAGTAAGTACACTTTGTTCTAGTGCCTTGGTTCTCAACTGGCGGGTCATGACCCCGTGTTGTAGGTCACCACATGCCTTCCCCTAAAGCAGCACTGTCAGTTCTCGCGCTGAGCAGCCATTCAAAATATGCTGCTTGGTGCTGAGTGTCTTCTTGAGGTGGGGTGGTTTGGGGGTATGGCCGCGAGGGAGCTCCATCCATACATGTATTGCTTACTGCTCCCTCACGTGTCCTGTAGAAGTGCCTGGACCAGAGTGATGTCACATTCTGGCTCCTGCCACCTCTACATGGTGTGCAAGGGAGCTGTACAAGTGGATGCACATATGTATGGAGCTCCATCACAGCACAGGCTGAGGATCCACGCCAGTTCTCGTAAGATAAGGAGAGTGGATTTAAAAAAAAAGAAAAAAAAGTCATTTTTTTTTTTTTTTTGCAGTGTGTGAGAGACAATGGGGGTGATTTACTAACCTAAACACACACACACACACCAGGTGTGTGTGATTTTAACACAGCAAAACGTATTTATCAACCAAAAAGTCTCTAAAAGCATATTTCCACTAATGCCATATATGGAAAAATCATGCACATGATGCATATATAATGCTGCTTCACAGTTTAGATAAAAATGGTTAGCTCATGCATTTACATTCCTTGCATTCATCAACGCAAGCAACACAACATAGAGCTAATTTACCCAACATCACCTTGGAATTCCTTCAGGGCTTTGCACAACACACCTGCTGGGTGTGTACACATTACAAAGGTGTTTAGATTCCACCCATAGATCATGCTGGGAGGGAACACACTGCAGAGGTGTATACACGCTCGTGGTGTGTTTATAAGGTTAGTAAATCAACCCCAATGTCTGTGATTGTGTGAGATTGTGTCTGTGGTGGTGTGTGTCTCTCAGTGTTTTGGAATGCCCATTCACACATTAACGCACTGTACCAAGCAATCACACCATACATTCTGGTGTGGGAGGTGCAGTGAATTGCCATTCATTTAAATGCACCCCAAAATGCATCTCCCACCTACAGTTCTTTCGCCCGCATCGGAACGCAATGCAGTGGGTTCCACTGCAGTGCAACTTGGGTCACAACTTAACCACTTAGACTAAGACCAGGTGTTTAGATGGAGCACAGATCTGCTCCATCAGCTTCTTTCCAGCTTCTGAAGCTGGAGAGTGACACAAGAATGCGGAAGTGATATAATATACATCAGTTCCGCATTCTTGCAGAGGAGAGGGGAACGGAGGGCGCTCGTGTAACAATCTCCCTCTGATCCCTGGCTCGGCGGGGGGGGGAGCGTGGAGGGGGACACACACCGATCGGCACCCCATACACGCGGCTGTAGAGCCGGCGGATCGCTTGTATGATAACAGGCATCGCTGCCTGTTTTTAAATATCAGCCATTTGCCGCTCGCGCGCCGAGGGGGCGTGTCCGGTGCGATCAAAATGCTGCAAGCACTATGAAACACATTTTTAAATGATATTAGCATGGTAAAGCTTATATGGGGTTTTAGAGATTGGGTTCAGTTCTACTCTAATAGCGTAGGGGCGGCGATTCACTCTACGGATCAAAATACACTAAAACCTTGAAAACTGAAAATACAATTGTTGATGCATAATCCCCCAACCCAACATTTCAGTGTACTGTTGGCTACAGAGTGACAATAGAGATTTAAGTGCACATAAGGTAGCCTAGCTACAGCCACTTTCTAGTCAAAGATTTAGGGAAAGTCCCTCAATCAATATTCCACAAAGTAGGAAATAAAAAGTGATCAAACCTTCGGCAAAACAATGAAATGTTCTGACTAATGGAATAATGTGGGATGGAACAGGCAGATATCTGAAAATGCGACAGAATAGCAGACCTCTTCTTAGAACTAGATGCTGAGTTGGAGCTGACTCCAGGAGGCAAGTCGCTATAAAAAGAGTCGACATCTCCAGTCTTTTTTACATAATCTCCCTGGGGTATTTGTCTAAAGCACAATAGATATCGTAAAGTCAGAAAACAAGACAAACACACACAGAAAACGACACAGACATAAAGGCAATATTAGTTCAGAGGGGAAAAGACAGAGAGGGAAGATGGGACATGTAGCGTTCACTTTGTTGACATTAACAATTTGTGGATTCCCACCGGCATTCTGTATTAAATCCTGGTTACTGCTGCAGTTGTAACAAATAAGAGACATTGATAAAGCTCAGGAAAGGCATTGACATCAAAGAGACCCGGTCACCAGACCATTCATTTCAACAAAAATCTTCTCATAAGATTATATGTGCATTTATTATATTTGAAGAGAAATGAGTTGTCACCCGCACACCGCAGTATTATGTCCCAACAAACATCTTTTTATTGACGCATATTGTCACAGCAAAAGCAATGTTTTGGGGCCACGCAGGGTCCCCCTCATCAGGCTCAATACGACAGATCATTTTAGGTATGTTATTAACCTGTAAAGGCCTCCCTTGTGTAGACATCCAAAAGCCATGAGACTGCTGCTGGGTGCCGCCATCTTGGATATGATGTCATCAGCAGACACTCTATATTATTCCTCTTTAACCACCCCCTGGCAGCTACAAAAAAGATAATATAGGGAGGTGAGGAGAAGGACGCAGGAGCTGGGCCAGCACAGGGAGTAATTAGACACTCCCAGAAGAGGAGAGGGCTATGAAATGCAAGGTGGAAGGGAATTGTGCTAAGGAAATAACTCTTGGTCACATTTTCTAACAAGTTCAAAGGCAGATCGCAAGTAAATAAAAAATTGTTTATGGATATGAAAAACCCTGTAAAATACTGGTTTTCTCTGTGTTTTTACCTGACATTTTTATTTGGTGACTGGGTCTCTTTAAAAAGTGAGCACCCAGCAATGGGCCTGTGCAAGGGTCTATATAAATGCTGTACATTAGATATTTAGACTTTGGGATGGCTATTGCTGCTCTTAGACTTAATACTTTAAATGAATGCTGCACTGCCACCCTGTCACCTTGAAAGTGCCCTGGCCCTTCAGAGTCATATCTACAATAATGACCATGCTTGAAAGGATAACCTGAGTTATTTAGCTGATTGCATGAAGTAATTAACAACCAGTGTACATTTTACTGGGACAATGCATCTTTCCAGCGGACAGTCACATGACCAATGCCAACATGTTGCTCACGTGATTTCTGCTGACAAAGAGGGCCACTGCTCAGGCAGCCAGCATTGGTAAAAATCACCGTAGGGGGAGTTATGCAACATTTGTGGGGTTCATATAGACTAACAGTAAATGTTGCATGGAGTATATACAAATGGTGAAATGTTAGGGGAATGTGCAGGGGAATGTGTGTCAGTTATATTGGAAATGTAGACTGACACAAGCAAGTGGTTGTTGTCCCTGTCGATAGTCTGTGACAAATGCAAAGATTCACCAAGTCTAGAGCAGGCAAAATCAACCAATCTAGTAAAATGTGATCCTTAGAATTATGGCAAATGCTGCTTATAGTAGTATTCTGTTTAAAATAGGTGAATCTTGAGTGAATCACAAATATTCAAAACTTTTAAGTAAAGGTCTGCTTTAATGCTTTTTTCATTGCTTATATCCCTATTGATGCTGCCTTGTGCTGATTCTTCTTGGACAGATATACCTGGGCACAGAGAGTATACCTTGGACAGATATACCTGAGCACAGAGAGTATACCTTGGCCAGATATACCTGAGCGCAGAGAGTATACCTTGGACAGATATACCTGAGCATGGAGATATACCTTGGACAGATATACCTGAGCATGGAGAGTATACCTTGGACAGATATACCTGAGCACAGAGAGTATACCTTTGGACATATATATCTGAGCACAGAGAGTAAACCTTGGACAGACATACCTGAGCGCAGAGAGTAAACCTTGGACAGACATACCTGAGCGCAGAGAGTAAACCTTGGACAGACATACCTGAGCGCAGAGAGTATACCTTGGACAGACATACCTGAGCATATTGTGACTATTAAAAGTCATTCGATTTTTATGGAATACTGGTCATGATTAAGTAAAGGAGGTTTTATTTGTGTTCAAGCAGCTGCTTCAGTAATTAATTTGTACCTGGCTGGATGATGATCATTATAAAACAGTGATGGATATACACTATCAACCAGTTTCCACTAATACAATCCTCTGAAGCTCATACAGCTGCCCTGGCTAGCTTCACCAAGTTACACCATGGACCCATGACAACACATGGCCTTCTGCTTTTCCTGAGCATTACAAATGTCCATTATGTTACTTTACCTGTTACCTGAATCCGAAATTGTGGTTTATTAAAGCAGACCTATCGATAATATATGACTATGACAGCGTTTTACTCAAGATGGTCAATCCGACAATAAAAGGACAAAGGGGAATGTAAAAAATTTACTTTTTGTAAATAAATTTCCAATTTGGATTTTCCCCCAGCAAATGTTCTCTGTAAATAGGATTACATATCACATATCCCACCACCAGGAGGGAAGAAGAACACAAAGTTCTTTATAAAAGATATATTTTAAAAGATCGGTAATTTTTTGGGAAATGTCAACACTTCTAGTGTACTGAAATGTACATTTTGACTTGTATGGTACCACCATGGGCTGCACACCTGAATACTGGCATACAATACTGGCATACAGTATGGGGTATGGGTGTAGGATTTATGTTTAATCTTAGAATGGGCAGCTCTTATTATGGGACTATTAGATTCTGCATTAAAACATCAGTTAGGTACGCTTTTGTAGCGGTTAAATGTGATAGGCATTGGGTTAAAGGCTAAGTTAATGTTAGGGTCAGGGGTTTGGGTATAACTTTAAAGGTCAAGACAATGAATGCACAGACAGATTAAGAGTTACCTTTTAGTTTAAGTGTTACAATTCAGAAATTTGAGGATCTACAAATAAGATACATTTTTGTTAATACTTAAGGTACATGAATGCATATTTAAGATTTAACTCCAGAGTTTTGGAGTGTTAGAACTAGGGATGCACCGATACCGAGAATCCGATCGGTGCCAATACCAAGTATTTGGGTGAGTACTCGTACTCGCCCAAATGCTCCTGATGCCTATCCCGATCTTCCGGTATCAGGAAGCTGGGCGGCATGTCTTTACATGCTGCCCGGCTTCCTGATTGGCCGGGAAGCCGACCAATCAAGAAGCCAAGCGGCGAGTCATTACCCACCCCCTGGCTTCCTGATTGGCCAGAAAGACGGCTCAATGCTTCCTCATCACCTGGTGACAAGGTAGCATGGAGCCGGCTTTCCAGCCAATGAGGAAGCCGAGCGGCGAGTCATTACACGCCTTAATGGGACTTCAGGTATCAATATTCGGTATCGGCGAGTACCGGAAAAAAACAATCGGTACTCGTACTCGATACCAAAAAAACGGTATCAGTGTATATCTAGTTAGAACTGTCAAAGGTTATGTTAATTGCTAGGGTTCACGTCAGGGACATTTAGGAGCACAGTATAAGTTTTACATAGATTCTGCACCAAAACCTCCACACCAGGAATTACTGTGTGTCATACTAATGTAAGAAAGTGTTGGACACTTCCCTTTATTATTTGCTTGTTGGACTGACCATCTTAGTTAAATGGAACAAAGTCTAACACATATTTTAAGTGTAGGTCTGTTTAAAAACCCAGATGTATTTATTTAACTGATTCATGATTCAGAATTACATGAGCCTTGCAATACACTTATATCTGTTGTTACACGGTTAGATGCTTTAATGTCAGGTTAAAAAGATCAGCGACACACATAATGTGCAAGTGCCAGATACAAAATATTTCATTTCAGTTGCGCAGAAGATGTTTTTTTGTTTTTTCCCCCACAGCAAAAGCAAATTGGAAAAAGTCAATTTTGTGTCTGTTTGTATTCATGTGATTTGTTTTACATCAAGGGTAACATGGCACCTTTATAAATGTACACTACAAGCCATTTACTTATGTCATCTTATAGCATAACTTTGTTCAAGGGAAATTGTCATCAATGCACAATTTATGAAGGGTATACACCAAATGAATGGTAATCTCTAAAACTGAAGATACTGGTTTTATTTAAAGAGGACCTGATCTAAGGAAGCTGTGCCCAAAAGACAAGCAAAGGGCATAGAACTAGTCACCAGTGTTGCCTGAAGGCTTCCTGTAGCTAATTTTTTCCCATTGCTGACTTACTGATGATGGATGTTAGCAGCAAACAGATAGTGAATGGTGAAAATGGTGCTCCCTTCTCTTTACTGATCTAATATAGAAATTTTCTATCACAGTGAAAAGTCTCATTGTACAATAAACATCATTTCAGATGATCAGAAGAACTGGTTACTGCTTTGCTGACGGGTGCGCCTGCTCATCTGTTTAGTTGCCAAGTTGACACAAATTCTTAGGAAAGTATTACTTTTTTAGCCAACGGAGGCAAGGACATTAAAGGGGGCTGGTGGCATACCTGAAAGGGACAATATCTCTTTAGAAACTAGATTTTCCTTTTTAAAGTACAACTAAAGGCTCCTGAATAACAGCCTAAAGAAGTACCAAATTTAGTTACTAAGTGATGCACAAACTTTAAAAAGTAAACAGAAAACTTACTTTACCTCCCCTTACTGAGCCAAATCCTTCTTCATTTGCATGTCACATACTCCCCTTCTTTGAGGGCCGGTGCACACCTAGGCCACTCCTGACCGTGCGGCAATGGTGCACAATACCGTGCCGATTTCAGCACGGTCACGGAGTCACTCAGCACAGACGATCGCGCTATGGGTGCCATTTTTTTCTAATGGCACCCCAGTCGCGCAGGGCGGATTGCGCAGTTTCCCGGCGCGATTCAGCCTGTGCATCCGAACAGCTGCGCATCGTGTATCGCAAAAAAATGTCCATGTACTTTTTTTCTGCGATTGCTGCGCCGATGTCACCCCATTGAAATAAATGGGGCAGCGCGGCAAACGCTGTTTGCCTATGTGCAGGACCGCGCGATCCTGGATCGCTCAGGTCTGCACCGGGCCTAACACTGCAGCCTACAGTGGGATGGTTTCAGCAGAACAGTCGAATCTGCCAACCCAGAAAGCAGAGGGCAGGACTATATATATATATACAGTATACACAATACAGTAATGGAAATATGGTGGAGCAAGCATGTAAAAATAACAATGATAACAATGTTACAATTGTACCTTGTTGACAATTTCCTTCAGTTAGACCAAAGTAAAGTGATCATTTAGTTTATCTCTTGTTTCTCACCAATGTTAGGACACAAAGCACAGGGACAACTTCTAACAATTTTTATGACAATATATTCTAAATCTTGCAGACAGACATTGAAACAAATAAAATCAGACTGCGTATTAATTCTGCTCAGTTGTTATTGTGATTGCAAACCACCAAAGATGAACTTGAACATGATGACATGCGGCCTTGTGCGGTTATCTGACAAGAATATAGGTGTGAGGATGGATGCTGTTTGGGTGGCTTAAAGCCCAAATAGATATTGTAAAACATACATTTACTACAAATTTACTGCAATTTGCTATTTGTACTAATACGTTTTTCTTATTCTGTGCAGCATAACATGATCTATATTGCACTTCAAATATCAAGTAACTATTTTTAAATGGCAAACAGATTTTCATGAAGTCTCTATTTCCTCTAAAGCAGATCAAACATCAGGACTATCCAGCAGTGAAAACAGCATGGAACATACAAATGTAAACTGTGAAAAACAGGCAACTACACATGAAAGTGATGGAATGCAGCTAAATGAAACGGTAGCCTACTTACCTTTCTCTCCGATAGTTTCTTTTCATGTTAAAGAAGAGAACAAAGAATTACTCAAATATAACTTCATGGGTTTTATTTTATTTATATTGCATATTAGTAGTTGTACAAGGATTGTAAAGCAGGAGAGCAAAAATGTAAACTATACAGCAAAATATCTGTGGACACCCGATCATCACACCTCTGTGAACTTGTTTGACATCCCATGCCAAAACCATGGTGGCCATTTATATGGTACTGTTAAGGCTTTCCACAAGGTTTCCACACGAGTACCTGTCCTAAATCCACCAGGATCAAAAGACCGCCAACCACAATCAAGATCAAAACCACCCGAGGAACACGTCTTTCATTCGCCACCTGTTCTTCGTCGTTGATATCGCCACACACCAAACCCACTGGTGAGTTAAGAATGTACTTCTCTTTCATATATTTGCATGGATTCTGACCACCTTGTACATTTTTTATTTCCTCCACGCCGCTTTTGACGCCTCATCATAAACCCCCCCTTTGCAAGGATCCACTTCTACCCACTGAACACCCACCTGTCACCCCAACCAGACTTCACGACATCACCAGGAGATCATCACCTGTGTGCCCATCCATCTCATCATACGTGAGTGCCCATTTTACATTCCCACCCACTTTTACCTCGATTCACTGTTATTCCACCTCCACAATGTCTGCCCAAGTTAGTTGCGCTCCTTCCCTTCCTTTCTTTCCGTTCAGTATTACACAGTTAGACAACCCGGTCTAATAACACAAGAAGCTGCACAATGGCCAAGACACCCCCCCCCCCCCCTAGGAGTGCGCTAACCAATCGGTCTTCATTTCTTCATTTTCCAACTTTCCACAAGGTTTTGGAGTGTGTCTATGAGAATTTTTGCCAATTAGCCAAAAGAGCATTTGTGAAGTCAGGTATTTTAGTTGGATGAAAAAACCTAGCTCAAATACATTCCAAAGGTGTTCAATAGTGATGAGGTCTGGGCTCTGTGAAGACCACTCGAGTTCCCTCTCACCAAACTCATCAAACTTTGTTGAACTGGCATTGTACACAGGGGCACAGTCATGGCAATTGTCATGGCAATTGTCTAAAATGTCTTTGGATGTTGTTGTAGTAACAGAACTCTTCACTGGAAACACCTGAGCTTAATAATTTGGAGGGGTGTCCACACACATTTGGCCATATAGTGTAGGTGAGATGGTTCGGTGTCCAAAAACGTCTAGCCATGTAGTGTAAATTGATATAGTTCAATTACAACATGATAATTTTGGTCCGCTTGTCAGTGGTCCTGGACTGGGATGCCGTATCACCTCTGGCAACCTATGTTTATCGCTGTGATGAAGGTAGGACCACAAACAGCCACTGATGACCCTCAAAATCAGAGCAGGAAAATAGACATAACAAACTTAGATCTTAATGCCTGTGTAAGGGGAACCTAAAGCAATTTTTAAAAAAACATAATAGGGAAAATTTCTATCAGAGAATCAAATTTTAGACTACTGGGATTCAATCAGAATTTTATGTTGCACTGTAAAGGGTAAAAACTGTAAAGTGTAAAAACAAACCCTTTAAAGATTTATATGAAGATATTGCATTAAAGTTTTAAGTTATATCGCGATGAAGGACTGAACGTGGAATCAAATCTTTCCGAAGGAAGGGTAGATTTCTGCATTTTTACATATATCTAAGGTTGGTACACGGAAGTAAATACTCAAAATTTCAGGGTAAGCCTCTCCTTATTCACTTTGCAACATTTTTATTAGATCAAAACAGTTCAATTAACAATAATACATTTTAGGATAAATTGGTGGGGAAAAAAATTCTCGTGTCTTCTGAAAGAAATGATGGGCTAAATGTATTATCTTCCCATTAATTGTATTGACTTCTTTTAAGCCAATACAGAATACATTAGTTCAGGTAATATTGGAGTTGATCTCATTGCAATTAACTTGGCATTCATTTTCAGTTTAGAACCGAAATGTGTAAGGGGCCAGATGTTAATGTAGGATCTTAGGATCACTGAAAATTTTACTTGAAGAGACTGCTTGGGGGATGGAAATGTGTCTCTTTGGGTATAAATGTGGAAATCAAGGCACCAGAATAAGGACATGGTTCATTTGTATAATTATATCTTTATAGTACCAAAAAAATGACCTTGTAAGACCAGGTCATGTGATCTGACTGTCCTGTTGTCCCATTTTCAAAAGATGCAGGAGAAGGGATCACTGCAGAGGTTTAAGCTACGAACATAAAATGTTAACCGCACACTAAGAGCAAATTTGCTCTGTAAAACTGTCAGTGGACAGGACATAGGGAGGTACTCTGCAATATAATTATCCTCTGTGGGTAGATGGAGAGGTACTGATATCACTGGGGCACAATAGCACCTCAAAAAAAATTTGATTGTGGTGTCACCACTACAGCTCATAGGAACTGATTACCTGGACTGAGGCTCTAGTTTAGAACCTGATGTATTGCGAATCAGGATGAAGAACAATAAAGTAAAAGCATAGGTACAATGATTGGGTGTAAAGATTTCGATAGATGAAGGAAATGTTGTCTTGACTTCTACTTTAAGCAAAAGAAAAATTGCCACCATTTGTGAACCCCCCCTAAAATGTTGGTGTAACCCATCAGCGTCTGAGGATGAGTTATTTTGAATTTGAGGCCATAGTAAAAAACTAAAATCAGGATTACATGAAGAAAAGAAAAGAGCTATTAAAGGTAATTAGGGGAACCTTGGGTAATGGACTGGTGGGAATAATTCAAGGAGTTCTGTAATGCACAATGTGGAAAACATGTCAGCACTACAAAAAAAGTCGTTAATCTGATTGGTTACAGTTGTTTACTGCACTTTACATATCTGTTTAGTAAAGCTGTCCTCTTCCCACTCTACAATCCCATGAAGCTGTTTGTCTCCAATGGTTTATTCCTGAGTCGTTTACATGAACTCTACTAACTACATCGATCTAATGAAAGAGTTTAAATCAGAATACATGTTGTGTTGTCACTTACTTGTAACCCCAAACTGTAATTCCTAATACCAACACCAACACTAGCATGGTACCAGTAATTGCTCCTATGATTATGTTTGTGCTAACCATGCCTGAAAGAAACATACAAGTCAGTTAGTCATTATCAGAAATCTTACACTCATACAGGGTTAGTTTATAATGCAATGGAGTAGAAGTAAAGGAATCTCTCCGTTGAAGCCTCCAAGTGCAGTAAAACCCAACAGGAGTTCTAATCCTCCCCCACTCTATCTAAATGTAAATTTAAGAGGGTTATTCACAAAGCTGCCAAAGGCAGCCGAGTGAACAACCCACCTAAGTGAAGTGAGCCGAACGCTGTTCGTCTATTTACTTCAGGCTTGTACAGCTGATTTCAGCCATACATCGGCTTGCTTCGACTGGTGTCGGTTCAGCCGAACATACTCAGCATGTTCGACTGAGCCGAAGTGAAGAAGGAGTTCGACTAAGCCGATTCAACATCTGGGCCAAAACTCCGGTAGGCTACTCGCTGCCATTCGGCCTATTCTCATAGGGGCCGAGCGGCAGTGAGTGAATAGCCGAATGCCGCCGAGCGGCATTCAGCTCGGCTGTTCTGCTCGGTACCTCCGCGGTACAGAGCAGAATACAAAAATATTGAAAAAAAGTAGGAAAACTATTTTTTTTTTTACAAATGTCAATAAATGATGAGTAGTAAACAATAAATAAAGATTTTTTAAAAAGATAAAAAAGAAAGAATATTGAAAAAAGAAAAAAAAAATCGAAAAAAAGAAACAATTGGGCAGAGTTAGCAGTGACAGATAGCTCCGCCCCACTGTTTTCTATTGGCCGGGACGTGCTAGAGTCTTCTAGCAGGTCCCAGCCAATGAATAACAACTGGGTGGAGCCGGCCGTGGGATCACAGCTGGCTCCGCCCAGCTGTCAGTTGCGAGGATTTCGGCCGGCCGTTCGCCCCAGCTACGGGAGCTGTACGGGCTATAGTGAATAGCCCATACAGCAGCCCTTTGGTTCTGCTGAATCGAAGGGCTCTGGCAGGCCGAAGCTAGCCGAAGGATCACCTGGAGCTACGGCTGATCCTTCAGCTAGCTTTGTGAATAACCCTTTAAATGTTTGGCTATAGATACACTTTGCTAAGCATGAATCTTACATGAATCTAACGTTACAAATTAGACCCCAAAAAAATAAAAGCAACAATGTTTTAATGTGATACTTTTTCTTAGTAAAATCTTTATTTATGAACAAAATAAAAAAGTGACAATTACAAAAAAAAAAAGCAAAACAATATAATGAAAAAAGTAATGCAAAAATAACTGAGTGCAAGTTTAAACCTCCGACACCAGGACACAGAAATGTCCCAGGCAGTAGGGACTTAGAATGAGCATACTGACCATCATGAATTACGTCTGGCTTGGATGTGCTTTTATATGGAAAAAACGCGCTGCAGTCTTCCCCCATATAGTACTTGTCACAGATACACTTCACTTCGTTGCTACAGATCTGCAAATGACAACACAAGTGTTTACAATATCAATTGTGTTAGTAAGCAGATGCAGCACACTCCTCCAGGCCACGATGAATAGTGTTAAATGGTTAAAGTGGAACTCCGGGCATGGACATCTTTACATATTCTTAAGTGTAAGTCAGGTGTGTTAATTGTGCAAATTTCAATGGGGAGTGGAAAACGTAGCTAACATTACAAAACAAGTCTAGCTGAATGTGACTTACTACTACTACACGTTTAGGCTAGGTTCACACCTGGGCGACTCCTGACCGCACGGTAATTGTGCACAAAACCACGGAGTCGCCCACCGCAGGCAATAGCGCTGTGGGACCGCAGTCGCGCCAGGCGGATCGCGCGGTTGCCCACCGTGATTCCGCCCGTGCAGGTGAACACAATCGCTGCTAAAAAAGCTGCTTGTCGGAAAAAAAAAGGTACTTGTACCTTTTTTTTAGAGATTGCCACGCAGATGTCACCCCATTGAAATCAAAGGGGGCGCGCTGCAACCGCTGTGTGCACTAGCACAGGATAGCGCGACCTCAGGACGAGCAGGTGTGAACCTAGCCTTAAGGTTAGTGTTAGCTCCAAGTTAAACAGACCTTCACCCATAAATGCTCCTTACCCTCCTTCTAACATTCCCTGCACCCATAAATAAATCACGTGTCAATTTTTTAGAGGGGGAGAGCAAGAACCTTTTTCTCTGCTCCCACTTCCTCCTTCCTTGCCTAGGCAATGATGACATAGCCCTTGGTCCACATATCTGCAGCCTCCTGGGATCACATCACACATCCCAGGAGGCTTTTTTCTTTGCATTCTGGGATCTTCTGCATGTGCAGTAGGGGGCTGGCGCAGTGGTCAGCACTCACCCTTTTCCACATTCCGCTCCAGCTGTGGAATATTCCTTGGCGTCCTCAAGTCTAATGCAGGTTAATGAGAAAATAAAGTACAATGCGCTACCACTGTCTAAAACATATACAAATAAATAATCCCCAATGCATCAATTTTTTGCCAATCACATGCAATATACAATTAATAATAAAATGCCCACAATGCAAATCGTTATAAAGTGCTCATAACAATCCTCCAAGTGTCATATACAGTTCCCTTTAAGCGTCCTCCAAAATATAAATGTCCCAACGTGAATGAAGTACAATGGTGAACCAGTTGGGGATTATTTATTTGTATAAGTTTTAGATAGTGGTAGCGCAGTACACTTTATTTTTCTATTTTCCCCTGTAAAGCACAGGAGCTAATATTATTAATATTGCGTTTCCATAGCGTGGATTTTCACTTTTTCTTAAATGCAGGTTAATGGACCTGCATAAGACATGATGACATCAGCGGTCCTTAGGCCACCGGAGTCCAAGGGAGAAGAGGCTGCAGGGACCGGCCTAGCAATTCAGAGGTAGCTGGCGGGACCTAAAATTTAAAAAGTGTGTCAGTCATTTAGGAACAGAAACTAAAAACTAGCTCAGTCATGAAGGGGTTAAAGGCTTGGGCTTTGTAGGGCAACCCTTATGGATGATGAATTTACTGTTTGTGCAATCTGTGGTGGAAGGTGTCTGTCACTCAGAAAGCTGTTCAACTGCTCAGGGTTTTACCAAAGACACCTATGTGCATTTTTACTGTGGGTGTGACCTATGTGTCATGAGACATGAGCTCTACCTACCCCATTTCCAGAGCAAATTTTGTTTGTGCTGCCCATGCATGAGCTGAAATTGAAGGGATCAATAGGAAGACATCTGTGATCCAGGCACATCATTCCCTCTCCACATGGAGTGCCATCTTCCACATATCCCAGATCATTTTCCTCATCCAGTTTCACATAGCCACCACTAAAAAGGTAAGGCACAAACAAACAAAAAAAAAAATCAAAATTAGTAAATGGCTTTTATTACTGATCTGTTTTTCATTATGTTAAGGCTCTCTTAAGCAAACCCACCAATTCACCCAGTTATAGAACATAGACAGGTTCTTTTGCTACCCCACCCACTAATAACTTTCTTTGCAATCCCTGCCACCCCCACGGCCACCACCTGGTTTGCCTGCAGGAACTCTGAGTCCAACCCTCGTGTAAGCTCTGTGTCGGTCATTATCAGAACTTCCATAGAATTAATGACTTGTCCTAATTCCACGTAACAGGGTTCAGGCCTGGTGACTGGCTGCACTACAGCCAGGCAAGAAGTACCAGCTACATCAGGGGGCTCCAGGAGGTGAACAAAGCAGTGGGGCAGCACATTGAAGTTATGTGTCAATGGGGAGGGAAAGGATGTGTAATTGAGAGAGTCTGTTACTTTGCCCTCAGTGAGAAAAGTGTCTGCTTCCCTGTAGGCTTTAAATCATAAAATCACGTGCCAATATTGGGCTGTGAATGGTGGTCCCAAAAAGGACAACTGTGATTGAAAGTGATGTTTTTCAATTCCCTCAAGGTTTCAACATAAAGACCAGATGATTTTACTCCATGCATTATTGTATTATTGGTATTTTGCATGTCAATGAAAACATTATCAGTAGCTAAAATAATAAACACAACTGAAATAACCCATACTGCTTACAGAAATGACCCCAAAATGAGTAACCCATAATTTCTGGAAAAGTTCACCCTAAGATCTGCTTCCTCTCCTGCATATGCACATCTTCATTTTGCACCCCTATCAATCCGTTATTCCCCTTAGAGTGATGAATTTCTGTTACTTCTGGGTATGGGACGCATGTGAATCATTCCCCCTTACACCCAAGTGACAAAACAGGCGCCTGGCAATTGGTCGATCTTGTGCCAGAGCCGTCACATGTAGGCAGTGAGAGAGTCCTCAGCGTAGTGTAAGATCCAGCTGGGATACACTTACAGCTATTCGGTGAGGTATTTGCAGCTCTAGTTACCCTTCGTGATTGTTCAATAAGCAGACAAGGGGTGGGTCCATGACCAAACACTGCTGCTTATCGCACAAGAGGTCAGAGAGCTGACTATCCTTCCGGCAGGATCTCAACACTGGCTGATTAAAATGACATACACTATATGTTGGCAGGTAAGACAGGTGACACCTATATATTTTAACTGAGTATTTAGCTGTTTGCCTGGCATTCAGCTTTAAAGATGTATCCCTTTATCACTATTTTGCATTTCAATATTTTATACGTTTCCAAGGAAGTACAATACAGAACAGAATACATTCACATGTAGAGTTAGGCACGCAACATTAAGAAGGAGGACAAATGTGGCATAAAATCAAAGCACAGTTTCCATCATGAAGATTAACACTAATGTGCCGGGACCTGTAAAGTTGTAAGACAGGCACACAAAGCCAATGAGTAACCCATTAGTGAGCCAAAATCGCCTTAAATTGGCCAAGGGGCCAAGGGGTGAGAAGAGTAGGGGAGCGGGGAGGGGATTAGGAAGACAGGGCAAGCACCAACACCCTGAAGCCGCTTAGAAAGTGAGAAACTTTAACATATTCGTCTGCAGGCCACCAAGCAAAGGCAGCAGCATTATCTAGGGCTAGGGGGGGAACATGGGATTGCCCATGAGGGTAGTAAGAGTCCCAGATCTTCAGTGTATAAAGTAGGTGTGGGCTGAGGTAAGTAGGCCGCAGTTTGTCAGGGTGCCAAAGAATAGCAGACAGGGATATCAGGTGCGCATTGAGTATTTCCAAGAACACCTAGAGGGGTGTATCCAAAGAAGCGTCTAAGGCGGCTATAGGGGCAATATGTGCTGCCCAACAGAATTCAATCTGGTTTGTGACCCCCAAGCCACCATGCTTTTGATTTTAAAACATGGTCTGCTGAGCAACCCTAGGAAGCGATGGTTCCAGATAAAGACCATCATGTGGTTTTGTATAGATGTCATGGTATACATCGCAATAGATTAATTTTCATGACAGACATGCGGCCTCCTTTACCCCTATTTTCATTTAACACTTTTACATTTGCACTTACACTTTGTTCCTCTGCCTTGCCATGTCTCCTATAGGGTGTCATATTTTATCAGAGACATCTGTGGGCAATTGCCTCAGTAAGGAGTGAGGGGTGGCACCAAAATATAACAGCCATTTACCTGCAGTTTAAAAGTTTGCCTTGATGTAAGAGAGAGGCTGATGTAATCGATTCCAGGTCACCCAGCCTAGGCACACTCGAAGTGTCGGTACATAACAGATAACCACAAAGGACATCCCTGTAAAGGCAGATTAGGATAACCTCTTTATTACAAACCCATCCACTATAATGAAGAAGATTATACAATCCCTAATCTTTCACAAAGTTCAAAAACAGACACTTTACATAATCAAAATTGATTGGATGCACCAGTCACCAGTCAAAATTTCCAAGCTGCCTTTATGGGTGTAGTGATGAAATACAAAGAGAAGATGAGAGTAGCCTGCTTGATTTGTAGGGTTTGTGTAATAAACTAACAGCAACAGTGTTTAAACTTCCTTCATGTCAGCATTTGTCACAGTGATTCAGTTACCACACTGTAGAAGTGTTAAGGTGCCCATACACCTTACGACCATCGCAAGACTTTTGTCTTGCGATGGTCGTATGCTTCTTGAAAGCCCGTACGATCTGGCCACCTTGGACGGGCAGATCGTACTTGCGATCATCGAAAGCCCCCCCGTTGAGGGGCGGGCTTCCGATGACGGCAATGCAGAACGGGCAGTGTGCGATTCTCGGCGGGTTTTCGAACATGTTGGCTCGACAAAAGACGTGCGACCGTACAGTAGAAACGGTCGCACGTCTTAGCTCACACTGCTGCGGGATTTCGCCCGATTCTCGTACGAGAATCGAGCAGTGTATGGGCACCTTTAAAATGCTTGAAGTGAACGTATAGTCAACACTTTTTTTTAAATCATTGTATAGAGTAGAGGTGATTACAAGCCCTGTCAGTTTATCTTTTGCAGGTGATGTCCCTTCGGGGAGATTTTATTTCACTGTCTGTCCTGGAAACAGAAAAGTAAGTGAGAGGAAACCTCTATAAAATGAGAGCAATTGCCCTCTTAGTCATTTGTTACAGGAACGGGTGTCCGCATTGGAAGATTTTCTTACCTCCTGTTCTTGTAACAACTGTAAAATTTAGCATTTTTACCACTTTATGCCTTTGCGACAATGGTCACCAGCACAAAGAGGATGAATCTCTTCAGTGGGGATAAAGAGCAATAAAATCCTGACAGGGGGCAAAGATAACCCCCATCCCCAGCTCTTTAATTCAGTGGTACAAAAAAAAATATAATAGACCAAACAAACTTTTGTTAATTACTTTTGAAAAAGTTTTATTGCTAGCTGTGCACGCTTCTCCAGCAGGTTTCCTCTCACTTTCTGAAATGTCAATGAGACAGAGCAGGAAAAACCTGATGGAGGTTCGAACATGGACATGGTACATATCACTAAGCAAAAATCATGGCCGGAATTGCAATTAAAGTTAACTTTTCAGTATAACACACTGCTACACCGTATTAATGGCTTCAGTAAAACAGAGCAAAGTCACAGGAAATGCCTCTTACTGTTTGCTGCACTGTATGTAGGTGTCTTTAGTCTTCCCACAATTGCCTTTTTCAGTGCCTTCGATGTTCAGCTTCTCATAGCAATACCTGTCTGCAGCTGCCACTTCTGGAAGACAAAGTATGTTTTGATAGAAACAAGTGGCTGCTAACAGATAGCAGCTGCTGGATACAGGAAAGTGATATATCTGGTACATGGATTATGCAACAACTATGTGGACAGGTTTAAAAACTGATGCGAAAAAAATGGAGTCAGTGCCTAAGATAATAAAGCAGGATTCATCTTGCATCTACTGGGAAAACAGAACTAAAACTCTGATTGGTTGTTTAAGCAACTTTTTTCTGGTTATGTTTTTAACAGCAGCAAAGTACAATTTAATACAAAAAAGATAAAGCAAAAAATACAAATTAATTGATATTAAAAAGGAAACTACACATTGGGGGGAATTTATCAAAGCAATTGCGACAGTTTTAGCCTCTTAGACCATTTTCTTATGTGCAAATCTGTCTCTTAGGCCTGGTTCACACCTGGGCGTTTTGTAGCGCGTTTGAACGCTCTGCAAAACGCTCAAACACCGACATTCCATTATTTCCTATGGGTATGGTTCACACCTGGACATATTACAGGCCGTATGAACGCGTCACAAAACGCCCTACGCCCAAAGAAGTACAGGAGCTTCTTTGGGGCATTTTTGTCACGCGTTTCCATTGGGATACAGCCAAGTAGCCCTCGGAAACGCGCGTCTGTCGCACGTTTTTTTTACCGCGAATCACTGTAAAAACACGCGTCAATTGCTATGATGAATTCCCCTCATTATGTTTACAGGCATTTATACAAAGGACAACAGTGTGAATACGGAAAATGTAAATTATATCTATGAAAACAAAGGTAGCCATCCACAAAGCATTAGATTTGTCTGTAGAATATCTCCTTATTTCATTGTACTGTTATGTAGTCAAGTGATAAAACCCTCTAGTAATTGATAACCTTCTGTATACTTACTGTCACCCCAGATATACTTGCACTGTCTGTCTCTAGTTTTACATCTCCCAACAAAACAAAGGCCCTAGAATGGTAAGAGATGGGGGTAGAGAGTAAGGTTAAGGGTTAAGGACAAGGAAACATTTAAAACAGAAAGGGAAGCAAATGGACAGAATGGTAAGAGAAAGTAAAGGATAAAGGGAAGATAGATTAAAAAGTAGGGAAGGGGAAAGGCATGGCAAGAAAATGAAGCAAGAGGAGGGGAAGAAAGGGGAAAGTAAGGGAGGGTAGAGGAAAAGAGGTGTAGAGGAGGGAAATAACGGATGGAAGGGGAAGTGGGAGGAGAGTACAAAGGAGGGCAAAAAAAGGGGGTAGGGGTGGAAAAAGGGAAAGAAGGGGAAGGGAGTGGAAAAAGAAGGGGGGAGGAGAGAAAAAATGAGAGGGGGGGGGTGGAGAAGAGAAGGGAGAGAATAAGAGAATGAAACAGAAGAGAAGGAAGGGAATAGAGGAGAAGTGGAAAAGGGAGGGCAGGGGCAGATAAAAGGAGGACGAGAGGAAGGAGTAAAAAGAAGGGGAAAGAGGGGGAAAGGAGGGGGGCAGAAAAAAGAAGAGAGGAAGGGTGGAAGAGAAGGGGAACAAAGCAAAGAGGGTAGAAGGGGGGAGAGCAGATAAAGAAGGGGGGATTGTAGAAGGAAAGGGAGAGGATAAGGGAGAGGATAAGAGAAGGAAGAAGAGAAGGCAAAAGAGTGGGAAAGGGAGGGGAGGGTAGAGGAAAGTAGGAGAAGGGAGATGAAGAAAGAAGGAGAAGATGAAGTAGTAACTTTATTTAATAACATAGCTGTGTTGTAAATTGATTTGAATAGAAAGTTATTTTAAATTATGTATATATTACCTCCTTTTCTTCACATGGATACCCATCCAGTTTATGTATATTTGGAGGACACTGAAAGAAATGTGTAACAGGCATGTATGAACAAAGTAGTCTCTATAGATGTACATTTCTAGATCCTATAAAGAAGAATAGACTGTATTGCCCATAAGATTTGTTTTCTCAGATCTGATCTAGAAATATAAGAAGGAAGCCATTGCTATGGACTGTTCTTCCACCATAAATGTGTAGTCATGAGCCCAAAAAGAACAGAGGTGCCACCAAATATAGGAGAGTTCAAAGAAGTTTTCATTGGTAACAATAAATGCATCAAACTGTCAATGTGTTTCAAGGGCAAACACAAACCCCCTTCTTAAGGGCTTCAGGTGTAACTCGAAAGGGGAATCCCTTGGAAAATGGACTCAGCAATTGGGAGGCTAAGCATGTGGCATTTTTAGAATGAAAGGCTGAGCCAACACACACTATATGGCCAAAACGTGTGTAGACATCTGACTATCACACCTATATGAGCTTGGTGGGCATCCCATTCTAAAACCATGGCTATTAATATGGTGTTGCCCCCCCCCCCCCCCCTTTGTTTAAAAACGCCTAGCTTCCAATATTTTGAAAAGGTTTTTCACAAGATTTGTGAGTGTGTCTTCCCGACTCTATCCAAAATTAAAAGAGGTCTTGGCTTTTACAGCTCCTTTTATGGAAATACCAACATACCTGGGCTGAATAATTTGGAGGGGGTCCCCATAATTTTATTCATATAGTGTAGCTGTGATGGTCAGATGCCACAAACACTTTGTCATATAGTGTATTTATCTATATTCTGGTTTTAAAAGTAAGATCAATTATTTAGTGGCCTAAGAATGCTGGAAAAAAGCCATAACATATTTATTTTGAAAGAAAACAAAAAAGTTCTTATTACCTGGCTGGAATTTCCTGTACACATCTCTGGGATGTCACAGTCATTCACTGCTTCCCGGCACAACATTCCTTTAGGATTCAGCTTCAAGAAAAATTGGGTTACATGATAAAAAGGCACAAGAAAAGCATGGCTCTTTAAAGTGTGACTGTCACTAATACAAAGGAAGGCTGCCACTATGACATGACTGAAAAAAGGGGTTTGAGGAAACGGGCACAGAGGGCCCGTCAATGACCACCATATACTGTATAGACATTACATATTAAAGAATAAATTAAAAACTTTGCTTTTGGTCATTTTATCTAAATCCATATGACAGAAACAGAAAATATTACAATTACAAATCTTGTCTAGGTATATAAAAGGAGCTTTTAAATGGTATTGACGGTCAAAAACTAAACATAAATACCATATGTATTTCTATATTGAATTTCTTTAAGTTCTATCCCACTCCTGATAACCATATCAAGCTTTGATATCAAAAACTATAGTGTGTATTCCTATTACAATGCCGGTGTTATAACAGGATAGGGTATGCTGGAACTTTAGAGCTCCTTTAATTCCTTTTTTTATCCTTTAATTTTGCATTAATGATAGGTTTTCATTGGAGCTTCATACCACCCTGCCTCACTTGCTTTATATATTAAATAAGGTTTGTGTTACCTTGCATGTGGTACAACATATCCCATCACTGCACTCCGAGCCTTCTGTTAACTTACACTGCATGCAACATTCGTTTCCCTCTTTCGCACATTCCTACCAAATGGAAGAATAAACGGGTCAGGCTAAATAATGATCATAATAATATAATCAGTATCCTAAATTAAACAGTGGCAGACAGGATTAATCTATTCCAGTACACAAAACACTTGGGGATGGTTCATATACCTCAACGGTCCCACAGTCACATTCTTCGCCAGCTTCCACAATGCCATTGCCACACTCAGGAGGATCCAAAAGCTGCATCAGTAAAACATAATCCTAATAAATTAACTGGAAACATAACATTAGTCATCAACATTGAAATAACAGCACACAGCTCGCCTGCTGGGTGGGAGGGCTGGGTTAGGCCCTCGTGGGATCAGGTTGACATTGGCCATTGCTTTATAGGAGAACTTGTGCATGTGAAATGCATGAAACTAATCATGTTGAGTCATTTTCATGGCTCCCCTCTCCCATGCAATCTCCCCTTCTATTAGGTTACTGTAGCAGAGACCTTCCAGAAGGTACACTGGGACAGGACATGAGACATGCAGGACTACTAGCAATATTGAATATGTAAACATTTGCTCATTACTATTGATATATGCTCACGTATTATAATTATTTGATATGGGAGAAATACTGATATTGGCAATTGCTCTTCAAAATTACTAAGATTAACGTTGTATGCAGATGGTTTAGGGGATTGATGACTCTGATGGGTCACTTTCTTTAAACATGTAACAACATCTGGGACCTGGAGGAAAAAAAACCTTGCTGTCAATGCACAAAAGCTAATGAATGGTGACAGACATCATGCGTTGTATGAATATTGATTTCCAAATCAGTGTTGTAAGGGTTTTATTATAGTGCACCTATGATTATAGTCATGTTGGAATTGTGAGAGTTATATGCAATGTATTATATGATTTTATTTGCTGTGATATCATTTCCATCTCTACAAAAATAAAATATGAAAACATTTTAACAGTATGACAACAAGAGTATGCGGTCATTCTCATTGTAAGGTGTCCATCATTACAAAGTGACTAGATTTGCATATTTGCTGAGGGATAAGGACACCTAGATTAGACTGTACCCCTATTTAAAAAAAAAAAAAATTCCTTTTTAATCAACAAACTGTAAATGAGAACCTGTGTATTGCTCATGTAAAGACAAATGCACATAATTATAGGATTTCATATTTATCGGATTATAAAAATAGTAAACATGTTTCTAGTCCAAAATTTTTATATTCAAATATTATCAAAAACAATTTGCATTTGGCCTCAGTATTAGATTTGCTGAGGGATGATGACACCTTCAAATTGTTAGTTAGATTAGGCTGTACCCCTATTTAATTTTTTTTAAAATAATTCCCTATTAATCAACAATCTGTTAATGTGAACCTTTGTTCATTTATAGGATTTCATATATATCTGAATATAAAAATAAATAGTAAACATGTTTTTAGTCCAAAACTTTTTAAATTAAAATATTATCAAATACAATTTGCAGTTGCCTCAGTATTAGAGCCAGACAGGTCTATCAATGGGGGGGAGAGAGTACCTACCTTTGAGGGCTTATTAAACAAGCAGGCACCTCCACCGCTATTCAGAAACTTGTGGTATTCATCAATGTCACAGTTGGAAAACTTGCTGGGAAGATAGTATCTGTGAAAAGGGATCATTATTATTATTATTATATAGGATTTATACAGCGCCAACAGTTTGCGCAGCGCTTTACAATATAAGGAAGACATTACAATCACAATACAATTCAAGACAAGATGGTAAGGAGGGCCCTGCCCGTGAAAGCTTACAATCTAAAAGGGAGGGACAAGTGATACATGAGGAGGATCATATTGTAGAACATGAATTGCTTCATTAAGAATCTTTACATTATCAATCTAATATGTTAACAAAATTACTACTGTGTTTAGGGGCGTAACTACAAATGATGGGGTCCCATAGATAAACGTTGCCCCTCCAGCTGACTCTCTCTGTGCGGCTGGCAGTGTCAGCTGTGACAACTTATGTATCAAGGACAGGCAGCAGGAGAGCTGTCAGCATGGTCAGTACAATACCAGGGATGGGGATAACATTTATAAAAGCACTAAAAACCATAATGATAGTTTATATTATGATAAAATCATTAATGCTTTTGTTCACAATTACTCTTTAACCTTAATACAAACCTCTTTAAACTCTAGATTCAATAAACTTTTTTGTAGAACCATAGTCCTCCTATAAGGTTTTAACAGAGGTGAAACTCTGGGATTTGTGACTGCATTAGGCATACAGGAGCCATTTCTGTCTTTAGCAGAAATTCAGAGGGCAATAAATCTACACTGCTAAGATGGATAAGCAAATGCTTCTTACTGCACAGGGATCTGTGACTAGATGATCCTGATGTCTGACTTCAGCCCTTCTATAATGGAAACTTTAGTTTAGGTTTCCTAATCAGCCCCCCAATGGGTCCCTCCTCCTACCCCAGGCCCCATAGCAGCTGCGTATACTGCTATGGCTATTGTTACCCCTCTGTCTGCTGTCCCTACAAATTATTAAAAGAAATAAAAAAACAGTTTAAAGTGATCTCATCAGCATTTGAAATAGCTTAAAAACCTTTTGACTTTAAAGGAGAACTATGAGGTGAGTGATTTTCACTCACCTCATAGTTCTAGCCGACCTGTGACAATGAGACTGTCACAGGTCGGCTCAGCTCACTTCTCGATCCTGTCACAGCTCTCTGCCGTGACAGGGGAGTGGCTGGATTCCCCCCTCCCCGCTCCGATCCTCCAGTGCTGACTGGCGGAATGGACAGTGGAGGGGCGGGTACAGCTGGCTCTGCCTCTAGATAGGCAGAGCCAGCTGTCACTCACGCAGCTGGGCGGATCCAAACATAATTGTCGGGATCCGCTTCAGCTGCGGCGGCTCAGTATACCGCGAGCTGTAGCTCGCGGTATACTGAGCTTAGGGTGACGGGAGGACGCTAGTTTGTGTCCTCCCGTTACCCTAAGGAGAACTATGGGGAAAAGTCTTAACCCCATAGTTCTCCTTTAAAGTGACACTAAACTGAGGCGTTAAATCCTAAAAATACATTCAAGTCCCATTAACAGTTAAGGTACTTCAATGTATTTTTAAGATTTAACTCCTGAGTTTAGTGTCACTTTAATTCAGTAATTAGCTTTTCTTGAGCTGATAGGATCACACACTAATAAAACTTTTGCTGATTCACAGAATTCTAACAGTGTACAGTATGGCCAGCATTACGGTGGGACATTTCATTTATTTTATATTATGTATAAGGTATCAGGAAGAGCTGGAAGAAGCAAAGTTTGGGGGGTACATCCAAAACTCCAAGATGGATGGGAAAAATTTGGGAATTTTGGAAGGGAGATTTTATTGGCAGAGTATGCGTGACATTTAAGACTTAGCCCACCACTGTCTACCTATAATTAAATTTGAATCTTTATTTTCACTTTTAGGTGGACTGACCCTTTAACCCGTGTTTCAGTGATGGTGGCCTTTAATTGATAAACAGCTTGTGATGTGCAGGTAGGGAATGTTTGTTACCTTACTCAAGAGGAGGATGTGATGATTTAAAATTGGCTTGGAGAGGCTTCATTTCTACTGGGGGATAGTGGGGGACCTGTTGAGGTTTCTTGATTTAATACTTTTAATGGAACATAGAAGTAAACAAACAGCTGGGAGTTTTATACAGTTACATGTAGTGCTTCTTTGGGGTGGACCTGTAAACACTGCCTAAGCTAACAATATTGCAGATGTTCAGCCTCAAAGCACCTCTGTTATTCTACAAATAACTCCTATGTCCCTCTGGAGGCCATTGGAATGGAGGCCCAAGCTAAACAGGACATCTGACTAAACGGACATTAAGCCCTTCTCTTTCTGGAGCTAAGCTACTCCAACCCCCGCCCCCCACACCCCCATGCCATTCATGCTTTGGCAAACCGGGGTCCAGGCTCATCACTAGAAGCCATTAAACTATCTGGTCTTGGACTGCTGAATGAAGGGGCTGGACAACATATAATTAGAAGGTGGTGGTGTTTAAAGGACATCTATGAGAAATGTTTATGTTTTCTATGTTTTCTTCAACTATTCTCTATGTGGAGAATACTTATATCAGTTATTGGAAAGATTTTTCTCAACCTCTTACAGCGCAATCCACAACTCTGCCCCCAGCTATATTTCCAACCTCGCCTCAAAGTATGACCCTAATCAGCCCCTCTGCTTCGCTCAAGACATTCTACTCTCTAGCTCCCTCATCAGCTCCTCCCACTCTTGCCTCCAGGACTTCTCTAGAGTCTCTCCCTGTAGATCCTACAATCATCTCTGCATTTGTGCTGACACTGTCCTTCCTTCTGGAGGGTGGCTACTTTTGTTCCCCATGGTCCCTGTGTGTGTTGTAAAGTGACTGCTCCAAGCTCACTCCCGTGATGGACTACAGTCTCAATACAAATGAGTAAACTAAATGTGAGACTGTAGTCCATCACAGGAGTGAGCTTGGAGCGGTGACTACTTTACAACACACACAGGGACCATGGCGAACAAAAGCTCTATGATTAAGCCTAGGTGGAGAAACGTGTGAGAGGCATTGGAGAGGTAGGGAGATGTTCATGGTGATGTACATGCTATATATTGCTCTCTTGGATTTACTTTTTGGAACCTGTTTGGATTACTTCAATACATTTTGGATTGCGTTTATTCTGGTTGTGAGGGTGATCTTTTGAAGATTTATCTGAATAAGTTGGAAGTGCACTACAGCCTGCACCCAGAATATGGACTGACTGCTGCAGCAGACGTTAGAATGGAGCGGTGAGGCTATGGAGCGCTTTTGAATACTTAGGCTTTGCATACACTTTGAATTTCTTTAATAAATAACTGAATTGTTTTGTGCTTTGTGTATCTGCCTTGAGTTCAGCTTTAAGATCCTATTCACTGTTCAACCAGGCCGCACACTTCTCAATAACTGTACTAGTAAATTAAATTTAAATAACATCATCTACATGCTATTAAAGCCCAAATTATACTGCCAACAATGTGCAATCCTGAATCAGGTACTTGTTTATAATAGAGAGGGAGACACAATTAGCGAGTAGCAATAAACTGTACAATTACAGCAATGGTATGAAGTTCCACCAACGTTTAAAGAACAAAGAAAACAATTGGAAAGGGCAACAAACTAATAGTTCCTCGTATGCTAAACACTTTATTAGCAGATGATCAATCAGGCTATTCTTCTTCAGGTCTTTTATCATTTCGTTCAATTTATGTCTGCTATCTTAGTGCTGAACAAACATTCGTTTACAGAATTATTTTGATCAATAGATGGCAGCTCTTAGATAGAAGGTTATAATGCTAAAAGCAAAAAATGCTGCTTTGATAAGTAATGTGCAATGGAGCACTCCATTAGACATCAAGGATTGATGGCGGACTCTAGGCTAAGGACTAAGAACAATCGAGTCAACCATTAAAAAAAAAATGCTCTAGAATAAAAAGCTAGTATATTGGCATCATAAAAGTGCTAACCATAACATTAAGACATATAAATGTAAAGGGTTAGCTTTCAAATATTTGTTGTTAAAGGAGAAGTATGGTGTTAAGGCTTTTCCCCATAGTTCTTCTTAGGGTAACGGGAGGACACAAACTAGCGTCCTCCCGTCACCCTAGGCTCAATATACCGCAAGCTACAGCTCGCGGTATACTGAGACGCCGCAGCTGAAGCGGATCCCGACAATTATGTCTGGATCCGCCCAGCTGCGTGAGTGACAGCTGGCTCTGCCTATCTAGAGGCAGAGCCAGCTGTACCCGCCCCCTCCCCCGTCCGTTCCGCCAGTCAGCGCTGGCAGATCGGAGCGGGGAGAGGGGAATCCAGCCCCTCCCCCTGTCACGGCAGAGAGCCGTGACAGGATCGAGAGGTGAGCGAATGCCCGTATGTGTTCGCTGTAAGGAGTTCCGGGGACGGCGGCCGGTGAGAGTGCGTTCCACAGTGGAACGCACCAGGAAGAGGCTCGCCGCAGTCACGCTCCCTCACTGAGACGTCGGCCGTAGCGTTCCACCCTGGAACGCGGAAGTGGCGTGACGTCACTCCTTGGTTTCCCGCGCCCAATGGCTATTTAAACTCAGCCGCCGGGTTAGTAGGGCGTTCCAATATTGCGGATCGAACGCCCTGCTAACCCCGTACCTGACCCTGCACTCTGGAGTCGCCCCGACCCCATGCTACGGCAACACCTCGTCCTGCCTGTGGAGACCATCTCACCTCGACACCTGTTCACACCTGGACAACATCCTACAGCCTGGACCTCTGTCTACCCCAGGACAGCTCCACACCACGCCAGCCTACAGATTGGATTCCCACCAGTGCCTCCATACCGGCAAAACCGCAAGTACTCTGCAGTTACCCCTGCAGTCCTCTAGTGACGTGTCCCCATACGGGAGAGACTGTATCAAGGGATTTGGTGGCAAACGCTGTGCATTCCGCTCCTTGCTTGTACCTGGGACTAGGGAGGTTGTAGGAACTGATAAAGGACTACCTTACTATCTATTACTCTAAACGCCACATAACCAGTTCATCTCCACTTATTATTTCATGCCTCCTTCACAGTGTGGTCTATGACGTAATAGCCACTACTGTGACGCTACATTAACGAACGGCCTATGATGCGAGGACCTCTAACTCACCGTTAGTTGTGAGAGACGCCAGAGGTCCAAGACTGAATTGCCATTCCACCCCATACCCTATGTTAGATCTTCCTAACTCCGCCGCTGAGATCCTGAAACACTATACTAGCTAAGCGGTCGTTACATTCGCTCACCTCCCGATCTACTAATCCGACCTGTGACAGTCTCATTGTCACAGGTCGGCTAGAACTATGAGGTGAGTGAAAAGCACTCTCCTCATAGTTCTCCTTTAAGTCAAAAAAGCAGTAAGGAGATACATTTCATGCCCAAACATTGGAGGACACCTGGCCATCACACCTATATGAGCTTGTTGGACATCCTATTCCAAAACCATGGGCATTAATAAAGAGTTGCCCCCATATAACAACCTCCACTCTTCTGGGAAGGCTTTTCACAAGATTTTGTAGTATGTCTGTAGATATTTGTGCATCAAACAAAAGAGCATTTGTAAGGTTGGTTACTGATGCTGGATGAGAAGACCTGGCATCCAATTCATCCCAAATGTGTTCAGTAGAGTTAAGGTTAGGGCTCTGTCTCTGTGCAGACCACTCGAGTTCCAACACACCAAGCTCATCAAACAATGTCTTTATGAAGCTGGTTTTGTGCACGGGTGCTCAGTCATGGTGGGACTATAAAGGGCCTTCACCAAACTGTTGCCAAAAGCTTTGAAGTGCACAGTTATCTAAAATGTCTTCATATGCTTAAGAATTAAAAGTACCCTTCACTGGAAACCAGTTTGGCCACATAGTACGTGTAACAGTCAGTTGTGTACAAACGTCTGGCTATATAGTGCATGCAGCCCACTAGTGCTTAGCGTGTGACCCGCTGTGCACCTCAGTGTAGGTTAGCAGCACAGGATTGGCTATACTAAACATATCACCATCTTCAGGTCATGATCAGAAACTGCAAGACCATTTGCTAGCTGATAAAGTAAAAATTCCGCCTGTGATATGAAGATAAATTGCTTTCCTGCATGGAACATCCTTGCTATTCCCAGCCATGATAGAGAGAGCTTCTCCAAATATTTCATCAATGAGCACTCCAGTGCGGAGCAGCCTCATAATCATTACTATGAGTATAATGACTGTGTAGAGTAAACTAGAAGATCATTTAGTATTTCAAAGTAGCTGTTACTCTTGAGTATAGTTATAAATTGAATCCAGTGTGTGGTGATAAATGTAGCAGTACTGTAGCAGAGCAAGGATATCAATCCAGTGACAAACAAGACCCTGGTGCTAACTTCCCAGAATCAAACTAAAGGCACCCTGCAAAAGAGGAAGATCAATACTTACCTTTTGTTGAGTGGTGTGTTAAATCTTCACTCTCTTGCAGATCTAGCAGTATCCAACACTCTCGGGTGTGTCGGATACTTGGTCCCTCGCTGTGTGCTGTGGTTCCTCTCAGCAGCCCCTACGTCACAACAAGATACAGAAGTGATGTAGGGGCTTAGTAGTTGCTGGGCAGCACTAAGGCTTGGATTTCAATTTTTGCTTTTTCTTTGGTTCTTTAGTCTTTCAATTTCACATCAAAATCCCAAAACATACACATATAAATATGGTACGGACATCAGAATGTGAGCTCCTCTGGAAGGCAGGGACTGATGAAAAGATCTGTGTTCTCTGCAAGGCACTGCGTAACATAGCACAGATGTCAATATGTGATATGCTGTGGTATGCTGCATTGCTAAAAATTGCCCTGGTGTGTTTTGTATGTGCTCTCAGCACATTGAAAGCCTATTTTATATGAATATATATTATATGAATAGGCTGCCTTAACATAACCCTCCTCAACGCATAAAAACATGGACGCTGGTCCTGCATTTTACAAGGAGACCCTGCTGGCGAGAGGGGAGCCGAAAAGACCATTTGAAGACAGGCAAGAAGAGCAGTTTTGAAGGACCAGCCAACACAGCAGGAACTTGTCCATAGTAACAGGCGGCGGGAGGGGGGGTGAGTCACAGGAGGCGTGTGTGTGTCACGAGCCCCACCCCCTGCAGTGCACACCGATTAGAAACTCCTTGGCTGCTGCGATCCTCTGGCATAAGGGTTGTGTACTCCTTTTTCATGTAATTAGACAAGTGGATTATAATGGGGAATATTGCACTGTAATTGTTCCTATTATAATCTATTTCTCTGATTAAATGATTACAGACAGGCCTCTGTTGTATAAAAGTTTGAGACTACGTTAGAATGTGTGACCAGTGACGTGGTCACACATTTTAACGTAATCTCGCCCAGTTTTTCGGCGGTGGAATAGATGAAGAATTCCAAAGCTTTCTCCGCTGTTCCAGGGCAGATCGGCATCGCAAATTGCATGTACAGGAGAACCGATCTGCCCTGAAACAGCTGATTTGTCCTGAAATGTCACTTTTATCCGACTTTGTGAGTTCGGTGAAATGTGAGATCGCAGTCGGAGAGAAGTGACATTTCAGGACCGATCAGCTGTTTCAGGGCTGATCGGTTCTCCTGCACATGCAATTTGCGAAGCCGATCTGCCCTGGAACAGCTGGGAAAGAGTTGGAATGCTTCACCCATTGGCGGTCACACATTCCACCGCCGAAAAACTGGGCGAGATTACGTTAAAACGTGTGACCACGTCACTGGTCACACATTCTAATGTAGTCACAACCTTTGATACAACACCGCCATCAGGGGGGTATGGCCAGTACCCATGTGAGGGGTCTGGGGGGCCTCTTACATGGGTATCAACTGTACCAGGGCGGCATGGCAGAGGTGACAGGGGAGGGGGTGGAGGTGGCCAGGCCCCAGCAGCAGCAGGTAAGAAGAGTTGGGCGGAGGTACAGGGAAAGGGATCCCGACGACCAGACCAGCCCAGCCCACCTGGGACCCTGCAAAGCCCACCATAGAGGGTCTCAGGTGGGCTATGCAGGATCTATGGTGTGCTCTGCAGGGTCTCAGGTAAGTCCAGCACGCTACTGCAACCGCTGATCCGCTCCCGCGCCCCCCCTTCCCCTGTCTCGAGAGGGGGGCCCAAGATAAAATCTTGCACGAGGGCCCTTTGGTTATTAGGTCCGCCACTGACTAAGTATTCCTCTGTATTAGATCATCCCCTAGTAAAAAGAGCATTATATTCTGCACCAGCTGAGGAGGGGAATCTACTATTTATTTTATTGATGCCCGAAGTTAGGCTTTAAGTGCTTGATGACTGCTCTACACTGACTCTTTATTGCCTGGACCTACAGAACATCTTCAGTTTGGTTCAGCTTTAATATCCTCAAGACAGAAACCTAAGAACTTCCCCAGGCAACATCAGATTGTCCTGTTCATTTTTATACTATGCCAAAGACACAGAGAAGCTGAATGGTTGCTGTGAGTAATAATCAGTGCGTATTTCAGACATAAGGCTCAATATTTCTCACCCACACTGTCATTATTTAATGACCAGAACAGTCAATAGCAAAAAAATGGAGGCTAGATTTGGACCTTACCCAGTGTCTTCCATGATACATCCATGCCACCTGTCCTCGCAAGTACATTCCCCTGAAAATACAACCCGGTGTACATTAAAGGAAAGACCACACTGTAATACTGGCATTAAACATTTACAGTATATGACTCAAGGTGACCACACACATTACTTTATGATTGTGTAATCTTCTTTAGATCAACCAACAGCTAAATAATGCAAAGGCCCTGATTTTTTTTAAAGTCTAATCCTACTTAAACAACAAAGCCTACTGAAACTAACAAAGTACAGAGATTGTACAATCAGATTGTAACAGGCATAGCTGGCTTCAGGCAGATTTATAACCAAGAGCATAGATTAAGGAGGCACATGCCTGGCCTCCCTCCTATTGCTGGAGTAGAGACTTGGGACTTGATGCTTTCCTCACCTTAAGTTACAGCACACATTTATCATCTTATTCTGTTTACTATACAGAAATCCCCATCGTTGTCAAAACTCAATACTACTCGAGGACGGTGCCTTTTTCTATAGATAGGTTGGGCAACATATAGAAATATTCTACAAGTGCAGGGATTGATGTCAGTGTTCTCTGCAAAATGTTGCTGAAAAAAAGTGTTAGCAATACCGTACATAAGATATTAAAACCAAGAAATACACTCACTGGCCGCTTTATTAGGTACACCTCTTCAACTGCTCGTTAACACAAATATCTAATCAGCCAATCTCAGGGCAGTAACTCAATATATTTAGGCATGTAGACATTATTATTATTATACAGGATTTATATAGCGCCAACAATTTGCGCAGCGCTTGACATGACCAAGATGGTCTGCTGAAGTTCACAACGAGCATCAGAATGGGGAAGAAAGGTGATTTAAGTGACTTTGAATGTGGCATGGCTGTTGGTGCCAGACGGCTGGTTTGAGTATTTCAGCAACTGCTGATCTACTGGGATTTTCATACACAACCATCTCTCGGATTTACAGAGAATGGTCCGAAAAAGAGAATCTCCAGTGAGCGGCAGCTCTCTGGGCAAGAATACCCTCTTGATGTCAGAGGTGACATGAGAATGGCCAGACTGGTTGAGCTGATAGAAAGGCAACAGTAACTCAAACAACCCCTTGTTACATCCGAGGTATGCAGAATACCATCTCTGAACACACAACACATTGAACCTTGAAGCAGATGGGCTACAGCCACAGAAGACCACACCGAGTACCACTTCTGTCAGCTAAGAACAGGAAACTGAGGCTACAGTTTGCAAGGGCTCACCAAAATGGTAAAATACAAGATTGGAAAAATGTTGCCTGGTCTGATGAGTCTCGATTTCTGTTGTGACATTCGGATGGTCGGGTCAGAATTTGATGTAAACAACATGAAAGCATGAATCCATCTGCCTTGTATCAACGGTTCAGGCTGGTGGAGCTTCGCATTGTGGATGTGCAGCCCACAAATCTGCAACAACTGTGTGATGCTATCATGCCAGTATGGACCAAACTCTCTAAGGAATGTTTCCATCACCTTGTTGAATCTATGCCATGAAGAATTAAAGCAGTTCTGAAGACAAAACGGGTCCAACCCAGTACTAGCAAGGCGTACCTAATAAAGTGACCAGTGTGTGTATATTTTATATAAGTCAGAAGAGGCAGCATTGTATGTCATGTAGGTGAAACATGTCAGCTACCAACCTCTCCTCATCTTCTCTTTATCAGAAAAAATGCCCAAATTGTAAGCCAAGGATTGTACCATTGTGATTGCCAGGACATCCACCCTTCCAAACTGAAACATGAAAATAAAACACAGATGAAAATCAGTAATGCCCAAAAATAAAAAAAACATTTAGGTACAACATTTCAATTATTTTTACAGCATAAAACAAGCAGGTTGTAGCCAGTTTTTATTTTTTGTAATGTTAACTCATTTATGTCCGGAGGTCATTGTAGCTGAGATGCCCAGACCAAATTTAGAAACCTTCCGTATGCATCGGTTAGTATAATTCTATGGCTAGTTTGTCTACTTAAACATTTTCATTGTTTTTAAAAGAGAACTATGAGGCAAGTGAAAATCACTCAGCCTCATAATCTAAGCCGACCTGTGACAATGAAACTGTCAAAGGTCGGCTCAATAGATCGGGAGGTGAGCGAACACATACCGTTGCTCACTCACTTGTCGATCTATCCCTGCAGAGAGCCGTGACTGTCACTCCCTGCAGGGATTCCCTCCCCTGTCCGATCCTCCAGCACTGACTAGCGGAACGGATGGGGGAGGGGGCGGGTACAGCTGGCTCTGCCTCTAGATAGGCAGAGCCAGCTGTCACTCACGCAGCTGGGCGGATCCAGACATAATTGTCGGGATCCGCTTCAGCTGCGGCGTCTCAGTATACCGCGGGCTGTAGCTCGCGGTATACTGAGCTTTGGGTGACATGAGGACGCTAGTTTGTGTCCTCCCGTTACACTTAGGAGAACTATGGGGAAAATCACTGACCCTATAGTTCTCCTTTAAGAACTTGTTTACTTATTTAGTGCACTATTCTAATAAATACTCCGCTCCAAGCTCACTCCCGTGATAGACTACAATCACACGTTTAGTTTGCTAATATGTATTGAGATTGTAGCCCATCACAGGAGTGAGCTTGGAGCGGTGGCTACTTTACAACACACATAGGGTGGGACCATGGGGAACACAAGTAGCCACCCTCCAGAAGGAAGGACAATGTCAGCACCAATTCAGAGATGATTTGAGGATCTACAGCCGAGTGATACACAAATAAGATTCATTTTTATTACTAGTTATTAGAATGCATTTTTAAAGAAGAAATTTGGGCAAAAATCTTCACAACCCATGAAGTGGAGCTACCCTGCACTGCAAGGTTTAAGTGCTTGTTTTCTCACTCGATTCTCCCAGCCGGCTGACTTTTAGGCTGGGTTCACATGTAGGCGTATTGAATATGCGCGTTTGTTGCGCGTTTTTACAGCGATTCGCGGTTAAAAAAAACACGCGACATACGCGCGTTTCCGAGGGCTACTTGGCTGTATCCCAATGGAAACGCCCGACCAAAACGCCCCAAAGAAGTACATGTACTTCTTTGGACGTAGGGCGGTTTCACGCGCGTTCGTACTCGCGGAAAAACGCCCAGATGGGAACCATGCACATTGAAAATAATGGCATTTCCCTGTTTGAGCGTTTTTCCGCGAGTACGAACGCGCGGATAAACGCCCAGGTGGGAACCGGGCCTTAAGGTGGCCATACACTTACAACCATCGCAAGACTTTAGTCTTGCGATGGTTGTAAAGTAATTTAAAAAACGTACGATCTGCCCATCTTGGACAGGCAGATCGTACTTGCGATCATCGCAAGCCCGCCCCCCTGAGGGGCGGGCTTCCGATGACCGCAATGCTGAACGGGCAGTGTGCGCGTGTGCACACCGGCCCGTTCGGCATTTGTCTCCTGAGCACCGTTCAAAGCAGCCGAAAATCGTAAGATTTTCGGCTGATTTTCTAGCATGCTCCTTAGACAAAAGACGTGCGACCGCACAGTAGAAACGGTCGCACGTCTTCATTCACACTGAACGATTCTCGTACGATCGTGGGATTTCCCACGATTCTCGTACGAGAATCGTGCAGTGTATGGACACCTTTACACCGGTCCGTACAGCCTCTCTCCTCCTCCACTCAAGCGGTCTGAGGCCCCATCACATCCAATACCCTGTGTATTGAACGTGAGGACGCCAAGGGACACACCATCACTGGAGCGGAGGAAGGAGCACTCTAACAGCCAGCCAAATGCGAGGATCAGGTAAGTATAACTTTGTTATTTTCGCACTTGCACTTTAGTGTCACTCTAAGACCAAAATGGGCCTGAGGATTTAGATGGTCCTTTTAAAGCACCATGGAATCAAACAGATATATAAATGTGTGAATGACTCGACCACCGTTACAGCTTCTGGTTATCAGGCCCCAGGACGGGGTGCCTGCGGGTTCATTTTCTCCCTATAAAAAAAGGCTATGGCCAACCCTGTGTCTGCTAGATTTGCATTGGAAAAAAAGGGGTTAGCACAGCAAAGCTAGGAAACAGAGCATGCAAGTGTAATGAATAAATATTTATTGTTCCGTGTACATATATAATAACAAATTAAACATAAAACATGAACACAAAACTTACAAGATTATTTATATTAAGATGATTTTTTTTACATACAGTGGGGGGAATTCATCAAATCTGGAGCAGTTGCCCATTGCAACCAATCACCTTCTCTCTTCAGTTTATTGAGACAAGCTTTGAAAATGAAAGAGAGAAGCTGATTGGTTGCCATGAGCAACTGCTCCAGATTCAGTCTGCTCCAGTTTTTCCCCCCCCCCCCCCCATTTAAAAAATAAAAATAAATGTTTTCTTCTCAACTCCTTTGATGTTTGAAAGAACAGCACAGAGTAATGGAAATGAAAGAAAGGAAGACATTTTTGCGGTTTTGTCTCTCACCTCGTTCACACCGCCTCCTTTCAGAAGTGAACACACGCCACCAATGTATGCTGCTCCACTCCTGCTGCTTTCAAACTGACTCCCCCTAAAACAAGCGAATATTAATTAATATGAATATGAATTAAAGTGCAGTGGGGCTACCCCAGCACTGCGAGGGTTAACTGGTGGTTTTTTGTCTAGAGTGTGAAATAGAAAATGTATACTCACCTGAACCTCGCATCTGGCTGGCTGTTAGACCGGTCTCTGCAGCCTCACTCCCCCTCCGCTCTGGCGGTCTATAGTCCCTTGAGTCATCACGTCCTATACAGTGTAGGATGCAGAGGGACTTTCCATTGCTGGAGTGGAGAAGGAGCTGTAGGGACGGTTCTAGCCGCCAGATGTCTCCGAGGATCGGGTAAGTATATATTTTTTTATTTTACATATTAGACGAAAACGAGCACTTAACCCTTGTAATGCGGGGGTGGCCGCACTGCGAGAGTTAAGAATAATTCTGCCCAGAGTACTTCTGCCCAGAGTTGTATTCTCTGCAGGCAGTAATTGTTTTAAGCAAGAGTTAAGTTTTGACCTGTTTATCCTGCCAGTCCTGACACTTCCTGTCCTAGGGTGACAACAGTGACAGAGTCCGTGCTTCTGCAGGTGCAGTGTTGTCACCATAGGATGTACAGGCTGCTGTGCATCCTGAGGTGACAACTTTAGGTGACAACTAGCTTTGCGCTGGCAAGTGTGTGTGATCAACCTATTGCACAGCCTCCAGCTTCACCGATATGACGTGCGTGCTCACAACAGCAGGTACAGCACATGGCTGGGTAGCCATCATGACACACAGCTTTCCTTGGCAAATAAGGTTTTAAAAAGAAATAAGAACGCATATTATTAATGCATGAAGAGTGCAAGGTGTATTCTTTGGCCACTGCCACATATTGTGGTCAGCATGATTTGGTATGTAAGAACTAGTATCGGTATCGAGTACGAGTAGCGATCTTTTTTTTTTTTTGGTACTCGCCGATTCCAAATACCGATACCGGAAGTCAGGAAGCCAGGCGGCGTGTAAAGACTCGTCACTAGGTGACGAGAAAGCATGGAGCCGGCTTCCCGACCAATCAGAAAGCCGGGCGCCACGTCGTTACTCAGCGCCTGGCTTCTTGATTGGCGAGCTTCCGACCAATCAGGAAGCCTGATTGGCTTCTTGATTGGCCGGGAAGCCGGCTCCATGCTCCAGACATCCCAACTCTCCCGGACGCTCTGGGAGTCTCCCGCTATTAGATAGCGCACTTTAACAGGTCAAACGATCGAGCAGAGTAAACCTTTCCCTGCGATCGTTTTTTTTTTTTTTCTTTTCTGACATCGGGAGCCGCGGCCCGCCGTCAGTCAGAAAAAAACAAAAACATAGGAATGCATAGCTAGATTCCTATCGGCTATTGCACTTTGCAATTGCAAACTATCTAATGCACCTGCCCACTGCTGCTGTCAATCAGCAGAGGGGGACCTGAAGTTTTCTATCAGGTACTCTTTTGGTGATTGAAAGCAGCAGAGGGCGGATGAAATAGCTAGTTTGCAATTGGCTACTGCAAAGTGCAATAGCCAATAGGAATCTAGCTATGCATTCCTATGCTTTTTTTTTATTTATTTTTTTCTGACGACTGCAACTGTCAGAATACTAAAAAAAAACAAAAAAACGCTGCAGATAGCAAAGAAGCTATTGCTTCCTGTGCTATCTGCCATCATTTCAGGGGGGTGCTCTCTCCCAGCCCCACCTAACCTCCCCTCCGCGGATGGGGGGGGGTGTGAAGGCACCACCCTGAAATTGCTTCTTTCAGGTTGGGATCCCTGATGCTCTCTCGTCACACGAGAGAGCATGGAACCGGCTTCCCGGCCAATCAGAAAGCCGGGCAGCGTGTAATGACGTGCTGTCTGGCTTCCTGATACCAGAAGTATCGGGCTAGGCATCGGAGTACTCGCCCAAATACTCAGCATCAGCACTGATACCGATACTAGTATCGGTATCGGTGCATCCCTAGTAAGAACATACCACATAAGCCTTGTAGCTCCATCCCATGAACAATCCATATGTTCGGTTGCACTTATAAAACATACCAACCCATACTTGGTCTACTGAATTAGAAATTAGAAGAGTCAGTTATGTCAGTCCAAACAAGAAGTTAGAAGCAGACTGGATTTCAGGCAGATCAACTGGTGTTTTGTAAAGGGAAAACATGGGCAATGTATACAGTATATATATTAGAGAAAAATAAGCCACAGGTTAGATGTTACGTACGAGAAGAGATGTATAGCATCACTTTTGTCTTTGATAAAATCCCTCCTGTATTTCATAAACTCTTTCAGCGTCTTGAGAGGATTTCCATCAATGCTAATTCTACTGTTATCGGCCCAGGTTTCCATGGCGACCAGCACGATCCGCGTGTTCAGCTGCTCCTTATATAGCTGGTACATTAACGGGAGAGAAGAGAGAGAAAAGAGCGCTTTGTCAGAGCCGCTGGAAAGACGTCACTTCGGTACAAATCCAAATTGCTGCGCAGAGGAAACCAGGCTGCTCTTAAAGTGAACCTGTGAAGACAGCGGCATGGGGGCTGCCCTCATTGGCTTAGCAACTGCAAGGTGCAGGCTTCAGGGCTGTCCTTCAGGCCTTGGCTTTTTTTAACTAGTAACCTGGAACAAGTATGCAGGGCAAGATTTCAGACTTTACTGGGCGCATGCTCACTAAGTCAAGATGAGGGTCGCACCACCAGAGACTGCAACTTTAAAAATAAGTAAGAAATTGCAGCCGCCATATGTCTATCCTCAAGGTTCACTTCATCAACTGTGAGAATATCACTATTTGCATTTAATTATAAATATTTTAAAGTAGTTTTAAGGGGATATCTTAAACGTGACCAAGATATCACTGTACTATTTATGACACAAAGATTGCATGGTAAAAAATGTTCTATTAAACAAGCTACATCTGGATACATGGTTAACTGAATCTGAAAAATTATCTCCTAAAATGCACCTGCGCCCGTGCTATGGACATGAAACTATTTGGATATTTCCAACAAGCAGCAAAAAAGCTTTAAACCAAGCCATCACTGATCACTTTAGCTGCTTTAATGTGGAGTTATTCCTTCTCAAAGATCACAACAAAGACTGTATGGTGCGGTTTCAGTGCTGTGCATTTAGGGGGCTGTCAGGATCTGCATGGAAACAAGCTAAGATTTCCATGCCTGTGTTGAAAGCGTTCTAAAGAAATCTCTCTGCAATGCTTATAGATACAAGTAGAGGTAAAGGATGGCATTTAAAGTGCTAGAATGGCTTGTGAAGAGTATGTAAATATATATATATGTGCATGATATGGGCACAGGTTCACTTTAACCTGAACATACTCCTTATTGTAACTTTAACCAATTCCTTAAAGTTAACCCTCAATCTGGGTGCACATCTAAGCGTAACCATTACCTTAAAGCTAAAGTTTAGTATGTTTATATTTTGCTTTCCCTGGTTCCTCCTCTTCCCCCTTCACCTTATCATTAACATGCTAAATAATTTTTTTAAATAACACCTTTCCATTTTCATAGCTTATTTTAGATCTGGTGATGTCCTCACTGTGTGTGTGTGTTTTTTTTACATGTGTGTTTGTGTGCGTGCGCACGCGCGCATCAATTAGGCACCACTGGCACTGGCGCTGACCTTAACTTCTAAGGAACTAGAATGTTTCACTGAATGTGAAACCCATTTTGAACAATGGATTTCTTTACCCCAAGTTCAGTAAGCTAGTGGATGTATGTAGAGTCTCTACAGATATACAATGCTTTTGTGACTGGACACTTATCAGTCACATCAGACGTTTAGCCCGACCGATGCAAAAACAGTAATACCATATACTGTAAGTGTTAATGACACAACCATAAGAAGTTGTCAAAAAAAGGTTTCAAATAAGAGCTTTCTGATGGAACTTACCACATCTGCATAATTCACAACAGACTTGGCGTAATTGTTTGTCTGGCCAACAGATAAACGGTGCTTTTTATACTGCAGGAAGAGCACAAGAATTTTTAAATATGTAGAAAGATGGATGGATAAATAGATAGATAGACAGACAGACAGACTATAGATAGATAGATAGATAGATAGATAGATAGATAGATATAAAGAATAATAAACAGGATACAGGATAATAAATAGGAATATGGATAAATTGAGAGATATACCATAGATACAAAGCCAGACAGAGATAGTCAATCAATTTATATGGAATCAAATTTATAGGAATAATGTATAATAAATAGGTATACAGACAGAAGGATATACCTATATATTATATATCCATTATTAATAACTGAATATATCATACCATCAGGTGATCATTCACAATCATCAGCTCAACATATTTTGTCTCGTCTATGACATTGCCAGGTAGCTGCTCAATCTGAAAAAAAATGATAGGTAACAATGGATTAAAAATATAGATTTGTGGTAAAGTTTCCCCAATGCCAAATGCAAAGGATTATTGTTCATAGTGTTCATAAGGATTGGAGAAAAGATGAGGAAGTTGATAAGGCAAATGAAACACGGTTAAAGCCTTGGCCATATGTATGTCATGACAGAAGATCTCAAAGCTACAATCTGACCACCTCAAGGCATGTTATCAGCTGGCGATTACCTAAATCCCTAGGGCTTAGTTTATCCAATGGGCAGGAGGAGCTTGTAGAATGCTCCTGTCATTGGTTATCTCTGGGGAAACTTGTCCAATCATTCTCTCCCCCAAGAGTGGTCAGGTGGTGGGCATCTGCTACCTCCATAGACAGGGCACCATAGTCTCCATCTAAAAACAGCCAGATTAGGTGATCTTATCTCATATTTTTGGGCAGTTTTATGCTACAGACAGAGGCGAAAAATCCCCCAACCCACATGCCTACAGAGGAAAAGGGAAGAATTTGAATGCGAAAGTTGCCTAATGAAAACTTCTGTACAGCTCGGAAAGGAAGAGGCAGGTAAGTGACTACTACCCTATTACTTAATACCTGCATGTAAAATGTCTGTGAAGGTTCTCATTCATCCAGGTCATGGTATATCTGTAAAAAAATAAATCAAAGCAACTGGACTTGCTGTATTTTTCTTGAAGACGTTTTGCTGGTAATCCGACCAGCTTTCTGAATTGAGAAAGCTAGTCAGCGGACCATCGAAACATCTTCAAGAAAAATACAACAAGTCCAGTTGCTTTGATTTATTTTTTTACAGATATGCGCAAGTAAATATACAGGGTTATTCAAAAAGAATGAACCGATTTCTTTACGGAATATTTTATTAAGGAACAGTAATACAAAACTCCAGCCAAGTCACAAGTATTATACTCACAATCAACTTTATTTCCTGTCTTACAAGTGTTCAATGTGACCACCATCTGCAGCACGGGCAACAACAATGCGATAAGAGAATTCCTCCCAGGTGCGTATAAGCATATCACGATCCACTGAGTTGATCGCTGTTGTTATTCGATGTTTAAGGTTATCGAGGTTAGCGGGTAGCGGTAGAACATAAACGCGATCTTTTACATATCCCCACAAGAAAAAAAAATCACACACGGTGAGGTCTGGGGATCTCGCAGGCCAAGCACAAAGAGCAAGGTCATGGCCCCCCTTCCGACCAATCCATCCAACTAGTGGTCGTCCTGGACTTTTTCCTTTACAAAGACACCCACTCTCTTGAAACTGTCGAAACCACCATCGAATGTTCTTAGGAGAGGGCGGATTAATGTAAAATCGCCTTCGAAAAGCACGCTGCACCGTGACAACCGAATTTGTTTGCGCAAACTCGAGAACGCTTTTTGCCGAGGACTTGCCATTCTGAGGGTAAATAAACAACTGAACGTTTCCGGAAGAACGACGCGACTACTTCGCCCCCTGTGGCAGCCATTCAAAACTTACTTTCAAATGGTCACTGACTCATTCCAAAACTTAGATAACTCCTCTTTCAAATGGTCACTGACTCATTCCATGACGATGCTTGAGAACTGAAGCAATGCGTCATGATATCGGTTCATTCTTTTTGAATAACCCTGTATAATAACATTTAAGTTGATCTCCAGTATAAAAAAAAGGTCCTCCCCACACACACACACATATTTTTAAAATAATCCCCTTATACGCAGAGCTCCCAGCCTTCTGTCATTTGGAGGGACTGTCCCTCTTCTGGAACCCCAAATCTCTGCCCCTTTTTCCTACTCAGTTGTCCCTCCTTTTAGTCTGATGTAAAGACCCATATACAAAAATGTATTATTTAGGTATCAAAAGTGTTGCACTGCACTAAATATTTCATCCACCTTCTAAATGACTGCAGTTATTTTAAATGCCTGTGTAAAGAAAAATGATGGATGATCATGATGGATAAAAAAAAAGCATTTTTGCATCTACTTAAAAATGGACATCCACTCACAGACTCACAGCCCAAACGCAGGCATCCCAACCTGAAAGAATTCATTTCGGGGAGGTGCCCTTCTCATTTCAGGGAGGTGCCCTCTCCCCCATGCTGAAGAGGGCACCTCCCTGAAATGATGTCAGATAGCAGAGTAGCTAATGCTTCCTGTGCTATCTGCTGGGTTTTTCTTTTGTATTCTGACAGCTCCTGCCGTCAGAGTAAAAAATAAAACCAGACAGCATTGAAATGAATAGCTCGATTGCTATTGGCTATTTCAATTTGCAATAGCCAATAGCAGGCTGGCTTTTGCACCCGCCCACTGCTGCTGTCAATTAGCAGAGGAGGACCTCATGGAGAACTTCAGGTCCACCTCTGCTGATTAACTGCAGCAAAGGGCAGGTGCAAACGCCAGCCTGCTATTGGCTATTGCACATTGAAATAGCCATTAGCAATCGAGCTATTCATTTCCATACTGTCTGTATTTTTTTTTTACTCTGATGGCGGTCGGTGGCCCCAATGCCAGCATAAGCGGCAGGGAAAGGCTTAGTCTGCAGAGTAAACCTTTCCGGGATAAAAAGTTTCTCTTCCGGGAGTCCCTAACTTATAGCGGGAGACTCCCGGAATGACCAGGAGATTTGAGATGTCTGCAAACTGCTCTGAGAATTGTTCACAAATAGACCCCTAAGAGTCTTTCAGTTGAGCTGCCTGCAAATGAACTGAGAAAGAGCAGGCTGATAGAAGAAGAGAGTACTGTGAGCAGAGAGACAATCTTATCAGTCCGTCCAGATCCTTCACTGCCCACTCATTAGCCTGGGGGTAGAGAGAGGACACTACTGTTCAACAGTAACAGAGATTGTGATTTCATTCACCGGGCTGTGCTGTGTGATTGGACTGTGTAAATAACAGGGCTGGATGGACAGAAATAATAATCATTTGGCAGGTTATTCTGCTCCCATTTATGTATTCCATGTGTGTATTTAGATGCTGGAGGTCAGCTTTAATTGTGTGTCCCCTAGAGAAGATACTGCAATATTTTTCACACTTTAATATTTAAGTCATCGTAATAATCAAAATGCTTAAATGACAATTCTTCAACATAATTCCGTTCTGTAAGCCCAACAGAAAATGCTGTACTCACACTTTGCCTCTTCTTCCTGCGAGATCTCCTTGTCTGTGGAAGCTTCACAATTGTCTCATTCAACGACCAGAATTCTAAATAAGAACAAACCTTTTTATAGACATGACTGAAAACCTTACTGCATCCTCTCCCAGAGCTAAGCACAGCTCAGCATTATGTACTTCAGTGCAACTCTTGGGAAGTTTTCTGGTACACGGCCAGAAGACACATGATCACATAAAGTGGGATTCTATTTAACTGTATATCAGGGACCTGCAGTCTTGGGAGGCTGGGGAGGCAGAGATCCACCTGCCATTATGGAAGAAAAAGCTGTCAGCTTCAAGTCTGAAGCTGACAGCTTTTTCTCCATTCAGAGCGGCTTCTAACAGGTTACACAGCAGGTAAAGCCTTCCTCAGGAGAGATCCAGGAATGGTGACTACTTTAAAACACACACAGGGATCATGAGGAACAAAAGTAGTCCCCCTCCAGAAGGAAGGACAGTGTCGGCACCAATTCAGAGATGATTTGAGAATCTACAGCCGAGTGATACACAAATAAGATACATTTTTGTGAGTAGTTAGGGTACTTGAATGTATTTTTAAGACTTAACTCCTGAGTTTACTGTCACTTTAAGCTTTGAAAATGAAATATTGACGCTGATTGGTTGCTATGCTCATATTCTGTCTTCACCAGTTTTAACAAATTCCCCTCACCGTGCTATAGCAAACAAAATATTCTATTCTTTCAGTTAGGGTTTACATCTACTTTAACCTGTGCCCGCCAGAATCACACATACACTGGTACCTTGGTTCATGAATGCTTCTGGTCGTGAACAATTCGGTTCGCGAACAGGAAGTTCAGCAAAATTTTGCTTCCGTTCGCGAACTCTGCATCGGGTGGCGAACACAACCACAGCCATCTTCCCCGCTCTGACACAGGGTCGTGGCTTCCTCTACTCGAGATCGCGGTCTGATCACAGTTTGATTCGGTTCGCGACCAATTGGAACGAATTAAGTTTGTGAACCGAGGTACCAGTGTATTTGCAGTATCACGGAGATGGGCTTTCTTCCATGATTCCACATATATGTTTGACTTTGAACCCCAAGCACCCAGACCGACCTGTCACCGATAGCTCCTGGTCTTGGACTAACGCGTGGAACCCAGGAGGACCTGATCATGTGATCACTGTGATAGCAAATTATAATGAATGTGCTGCGCTTCATCTAGAACAATACATAAACAAATCTCTATAATAAATATGTGCTTAAATAATACATGCAATCAAAAAAGTGTTCACAATGAATCCTCTTATAGATAATAGTCCTCTGGAAAGTTCAATCATATATTCCGTGTTCACATATACGCAAATGTGGAATCACACATATATAGTGCTCCGGATTTGTCCCAAGTGCACCACACACTTTATCCTTCCACTGTGAAAGTTCTGTGTACAAAGTCCATACGTCAACTCCAATTATCACCCAGGTGCTGCCCCTCTCAGTGGGCCGCTCACCTTAATGTGGCCATACACTTTACAACCATCGCAAGACCTTAGTCTTGCGATGGTTGTAAAGTAGGGCTGGTAATGATTACAATTTTCCTGTTCGATTAATCGAATTTTTTTAAAATCGATTAATCGACTAATTTTGATTAATTATAACGCACATACAGAGGGGGGTCTCACCAGAGCTTTGAGGGGGCCTCACCAGGGTAGCTAAGGCATGCTGGGACTTGCAGTTCAACTACAACCAGCATGCCTTCATTGCCCCTGTACACCTCTCCACATCACCCAGGGAACTACATGTCCCAGCATGTCCTTATGGTCTTTGTACACCGTCCCCCACATACCGTATATACTCGAGTATATTCCCACCCTCGGCTTATATTCGGGTCAATACTTTTTCCCAGTTTTTTTTGCTAAAATTAGGTACCTCGGCTTATATTCGGGACGGCTTATACCCAAGTATATACGGTAAATCACCCAGGGAACTACAAGTTCCAGCATGCAAGCCCCCTGCAGTAGTTCCCTGCGTGATATGTGAGAGTTGTACAGGGACAGTGAGTGCATGCTGGGACTTGTAGTTCCCTGTATGATAGAAGGCTATTTTAATTACTTTCCTCATGAAAATACAATGCCATTATAGTACAGTAACTTTTGAACTCAACTATATTCTATTCAATGTTTCTATAATGACTTTGTATTACTAGTACTTTCATGAGAACAGTAATAAAAACAGCCTTCTATCATACAGGGAACTACAAGTCGCAGCTGAACTGCCGACTTGTAGTTTCCTAGTAGTACAATGACATTATAGAACATGGAATAGAATATAGTCAGTTTCAGCCATATTCTATTCCATGTTCTATAGCTTGAGCAGGGTGCTGTAAAAAAACATACCAGCGTGGGGGGACAGCGGCCGGGAACATCGAGGCGGGTCTCTGTATCAGGTGGCTGCTGCTGGGTCCTCGCAGCTGAGGTAACGAAGGGAAGGGGGAGGAGTCCGGTGACGTCACGGACATCGACGTCAACGGACTCCTCCCTCCTTCCCTTCGTTACCCATCACGGACAACTACATCACCCGACTCCTCCCCCCTTCCCTTCGTTAGCCGACAGAGTCACTCGGGGAGGGGGGGAGGAGTCCGGTGTTCGATCAAAGAAATTAGTTCGATCAAAGAAATTAACGATTAATCGACGGATTAATCGTTCATTTCCGCACCCCCTATTGTAAAGTAATTTTAAAAACGTACGATCTGACTATCTTGGACAGGCAGATCGTACTTGCGATCATCGCAAGCCCGCCCCCCTGAGGGGCGGGCTTCCGATGACTGTAATGAGGGGCGGCCTTACGATGACTGCAAACGGGCAGTGTGCGCGTGCGCACACCGGCCCGTTCGGCAGTTGTTGAACCAGCAGGGCACTAACTCGCCGAGAATCGTACGATTCCCGGCGGGTTTTCTAGCATGCTGGTTCAACGGAAGACGTGCGACCGTACAGTAGAAACGGTTGCACGCCTTCCATACACTGCACGATTCTCGTACGATCGCGGGATTTCCCGCGATTCTCGTACAAGAATCGTGCAGTAAATAGACCTGAACAGGTCTAGAATCGCTTTAATGGGTCTCCAATCGATCTTATTCAAAAGCCATCTCTCCACAATCGTTGCACAGAAAATGACGTCAGCGTGTCATCACGACCATATCCAATAAAATATAAAAACCGCCCATAGCGTAAAACCGCAAAATTAAAAAACTCCTTTATTTAAAAAACTACTAACATGAGGAAAGTAGACATAAAACTTCGAATAAAATTTATGCTCGACAACTCTCTCTCTCCATATATAAGATTGAACTTTCCAGAGGACTATTATTTATAAGAGGATTCATTCACTTTTTTATTGCATGTATTATTTAAGCGCATATTTATTATAGAGATTTGTTTATGTATTGTTCTAGATGAAGCGCAGCACATTCATTATAATTTGATATATTCAGAGGGTAACACTTCTTATAGTGCTTGCAGCTACACAGGGATTGGCGCGAGCTGCTATTTGTCACTTGATCACTGCGATAGCCATTTACAGCAATCACCATTTTTCGAACCCTCCCCTATATCTTTTTCTGCTTGCTAGTGGAGAATTCTGTAAAAATAAAAGTCTGTTAACAAAAATGAATAAATAAAGAGACAATAGTTAGACCAGGGCTTGATCGAGGATAGTGTCAGTGTCAGCATTAGTGTCATTGTGTTTTAGGTAGGATAAAAAAGTTTTATATTGAGTGTCAGTGTGTTTAGATAGGATAGAAAACAAAACAAAATGCACACTATTGTTTCTTGGCCTTACTACGGGTACAAATAACAAATAACGTACACATATGTGGTATCGTCATGCATGTCAGCAGTAGGAAAATGTATTTTGTTTTTTATAGTAGGTCATAGTAATGGTAATAAATATAAAGCTACATTTTAAAAAATATATATTTTTTACTACTTTGTGCCAGCTTTTCTTTGATTAAAAAAAAATCCATTAAAGTGGAAGTTAAGTATAACCAAAAACAAAAGTGGTGTTGTAATGTTTGCACATCACATTAGCATATTATGGCCAACTTATCTGCCAAATCGATCCCTTCCAGCACTGGCGCTGCCATCTTTTTCCCCGGTCTTCTTCCCGGTTCAGTGCTTTCAGCTTCTTTATTGGCTGGCTAGCATGAAGCAACTCTTGTGCATGTGCACGGGAGTTCCTTCATCTGGGCATGCCATGTGTGTGTGCTAAGCTGCTCATGTGCAGCTCAGTGCACAGTAAAAAAAAAAAATGTTGCCTGTCAATTTTTTTTTAATTACACTTTATTTCTGCTTTAACATTTACCACCAAATGAAGGCCGAATCTGTCCTGAACAAAACAAGGTATCATTCACCTGCATACATTATGGAGCTGATTCATAAATCTTCCAAAATTCATCAATCTAGATAGAGCGAGGAGCACTGGAAATTCCTATGCTCCTCAGCGCCATCTAGCTGTGGCAGTGCTTTGCCAAATGTGAATATTCATACATCGGGAGAATCCACACGACTCCAACTTATATAGCTGCAATTAGCCAGGAAAATGTAACATCAAGTGATTGTCGGATCAACTTTCACAAGAAATGCAAAACGTGATGACCCGCAGCTGATCTCAAAATCAGATGAAGAATGATTGTCTTATGTCAACAAGAATCTTTAGAGTGATATTATATAGTCAAAATGAAATGTACCTGACGGCAGTTCATCAAGGGGAAATTCAAGTATTCTTGATTTGTAAACAGAGTGTAAGTGGTAATCCTCCTGAAATAAACAAGAAAATATGTTTTTCCTTTATAAAATATTCACCATACACCAATCAGTACTTCACTAAAAAAATACATGCACCAGGTAGATTCATCTGCAGTGAATGTTTGGTGACTCTCAGATTGACTGCTTTATACATATTCCCCAAAGCCAGTTTTTCTAGGAACATTCAACCTCTTTATTTGTCCGGGTGACCACTGTCAACAGAGGTGTAGGTACATTTTCTAGTGGGGACACTTTCTAAGGACCTTTGTTGATGGGTTTTTGCTTGCTTCAAGTGGGCTTTGCATTCCCATACATGTCTACAGAAATGCAAAACCTGCTTAAAAGAGAACTATGGGGTAAGTGTTTTTCACCATAGTTCTCTTTAGGGTCACGGGAGGACACAAACTAGCGTCCTCCCGTGACCCAAAGCTCAGTATATAGTGAGCTACAGCTCGCGGTGTACTGAAGCCGCTGCAGCCGGGATGGATTTCGACTATGTTGTCGAGATCCATCCAGCTGCGTGAGTGACAGCTGACTCTGCCTATCTAGAGGCAGAGTCAGCTGAGCCCGCCCCCTCCCCATCCGTTCCTCCAGTCAGCACTGGAGGATCGGAGAGGGGAGGAGGGAATAGCTGCAGGGAGCGGTTACTGACAGTCACCACTCTGCAGGGAGATGATCGAGAAGTGAGCGAGTGACAGTATGTGTTCGCTCTCTTCCCGATCTATTGAGCCGACGTGTGACAGTTTAATTGTGATTTTCACTCACCTCATAGTTCCCCTTTAAAGCAGGTCAACTGCAGGCCAGATGCACCTGTCATTGTATTCTGCCTGATCTCAGAAGCATCCCAAACTGATGTCAAACTGATAGGAATCCACAGAAGCCCAAAACCCCCATTGGACACTGATCCTTCATAAGAGGGGAATTCCCCTCACTTTGTAAACATTTCATTTTACTTGTGTCCCCGGGACAGGAAGTGAAAGGAAATCTCCCCAATGGGAGCCAGACAGACACTATTCTTTGTCAGTATGTTTCCTTTAATTGGATGAACGTATTTGGTAGATGCAACTTGTCTTTGTTCTTCATCTGTATTGATGCAGACACCTATGCTGGACAATGAGGCTATGGGCACAAGCCTCCATTGATTTCTTTTCTCTTCAGGTACACATGAAAGTAACTCAGACTGGAACTGAGCCATAATTGCAAATATACTTTGCATCATCCAAGGAAGAATACATTATAGCGCAATTTTAACAGCTTACAGGCCCATCTGGGAAAATCAAGACACACAATAAATGAAAGTATTAACATATCACAAACCTGATGAGAATAAAAGATACGCACACTCACACACGAACACTCACACACACTTTTATGTATTCAGTATATATACTGTATGTTTGTTGGAATCATTTATTTAGCAATGACAGATCTTCTGCAGAGCTTTACAGGAAAGAACAACTATTTACGTCAGTCCCTGTCCCCAGAGGAGCTTGCCTGACACAACCCCTTTTATAGAACAGAATTGCGGTATTTATTTACAGTCTCAAGTTTTCTCACATAAAATACCATGTTGCATAACGTTAGCAAAGGCACATTAGTGCTGAAAATGCTTCATGCACCTTTTTTGGTACATTCTGATGCATTAAGCTGGTCATACACCTACAGATTATCTGCAGATTTATATGGTCAGATGGAAAAAGTGCAACAGATTCCTCCATCTACGCTCAACTGTGTGGATGGAGGAATCTCCCACTGGGCCAAGCTTTAGTATCTAGCTAATCGGCCCCGCTGGCTCCCAAAATACCTGAACAATGCCTGCATCCAATCAGATTGTTCAGGTGTTTTGACAGCCAGCGGGGCCGACTAGCAAGATACTGAATCTTGCCCAGCGGGAGATTCCTCCATCCAGGGCCGGTGCTGCCACTAGGCAAACTAGGCAGCCACCTAGGGCGCACTGCTGCCTAGGTCGCAGCCTTGACCATTCATCCCCCACGGCGCCACCTGTCTATTTCAAATTGCAAAAGCCAATAGCAGGCTGGCTATTGCACCCGTCCACTGAGCAGAGGAACTCAGAGTCAACTTTTTCTCTCAGGTTTGCTTCTCTGCTCAGTGGGTGGGATTTCAATACCCAGTCTGCTATTGGCTATTTCAAATTAAATTACATCCACCTGTCGCCTGCAGAAGCTAACCCGCAGGAGAATGGGGCTGCGTGGGGGGGGTTTGCGGCACAGGAGGGGGTGCAAGTAGCTGGTCTTGCCTAGGGCGCAAAATAGTGGAGCACCAGACCTGGTTCCAATGGGACATTTTCCTCTTATAGATCGTCATGAATTCTGTTCGTGTGCCTTACGGCATGTGATTGGGGGTTGCGCCACGGGAGGGGGGGGTGCAAGTAGCTGGTCTTGCCTTGGGCGCAAAATAGTCTAGCATCGGCCCTGCCTCCATCCACACAGTTTAGCGTAGATGGAGGAATCTGTTGCACTTTTTTCATCTGATCATAAAAACACTGCGCATTATCTATAGGTGTATGGCCAACTTTAGGCAGCCCATTTAAATGGATGATCACACTAGAATCACTCAATGAACATTAAAGGAGAACTATGGGGTTAAGTCTTTTCCCCATAGTTCTCCTTAGGGTAACGGGAGGACACAAACTAGCGTCCTCCCGTCACCCTAGGCTCAGTAAACCGCGAGCTACAGCTCGCAGTATACTGAGACGCCGCAGCTGAAGCGGACCCCGACAATTGTGCCGGGATCCGCCCAGCTGCGTGAGTGACAGCTGGCTCTGCCTATCTAGAGGCAGAGCCAGCTGTACCCGCCCCCTCCCCCGTCCGTTCCGCCAGTCAGCGCTGGCAGATCGGAGCGGGGAGGGAGGAATCCAACCCCTCCCCTGTCACGGCAGAGAGCAGGGACAGGATCGAGAGGTGAGCGATCGCCGGTATGTGTTCGCTCGCCTCCCGATCTACTGAGCCGACCTGTGACAGTCTCATTGTCTCAGGTCGGCTAGAACTATGAGGTGAGTGAAAAGCACTCACCTCATAGTTCTCCTTTAAACAGCCATATAACACATGTACCATTATAAATGCATAGACCCATATTTGACATCTGTCCATGCTCTGGTTGTCCAGCAATCAGCCATTTACTACAGACACAATGCAACTCATGTAGAAGACAGGGGACCTCTTACACCTCCAGCCAAAAAAAGGTGTGAAGGTTAGCACAAACGTTGAAACTGAACTGAAGACCTTGGGCCAAATAAAGGAGTTCCGTCGGGCCAATGCCGTTTGCAGTGCACTGGCACACCGTAGACGGCGCTGACATGCATAGGGATTTCTATACACCTCAGTGTCATCTAGGAGTGCTAGTGCTGCCTGAACAGCATGCGGGCGGAACTTTTATAAATGAACTCCAAAGTGTGTCAGTACATTTTATTTGTAGAAAATAACACTCAAACAAGTTAAAAGGAAAAAGGTCTTAAAGGATATGCGAGATAAGCTACTGGATGTGTCATATGATCCATTAACTTTAACACATTTGCCAAAAGTGTGAAATTTTGCTGAAATGTCCTGAAATTTGTTGAATTAAAACTCTCAATTTCTTTCATTTCATATTACTTCATATTTAATCTTTCTATTGCAAAATTTCAATTGTCTCGTCCACTGTTCCTTTCAACATCTCGTGGAGTCACGAGGCGGCCCAACGGAGTACTGATGGGGTGGTCATAATAATCTGGCCACTCAGTGTATATATATATATATGTATATGGAGTCTATAGTTTTTAGATGTTAATAAAAGCTATATGTTATTGACTCTGATGGGTAAATGTACAAATTATAGCATGCCTCATGTTCGTTGCATATATTGGTAGGATCCCTGGATTGCCAGGCGTATGTTTTTTGTGCCTACTCCAGCAAAAACAGTAAGATTGGGAAAAAATATGTGGACGGGGGAGTCAAGTTCCTCTTTTTAGGGAATGTGGATAAAAAGAGTGAACCTGGCCATATACTGCTCAAATTTCCTACTGACTCTGCTGAAACTCAACCAGTGTGTGGCCCCGATGTCTCTATTGATCGGGAAGTGAGCAAAAACATCCTAGTGATGTGCTCACTTCTTGATCATCTCCCTTCAGTGAGCGGTGACTGTCAGTCATGGCTCCTCGCAGGGATTCTCCCCCCTCTCCGATCCTCCAGCGCTGACCGGAGCAATGGACATGGGAGGGGGCGGGCACAGCTTGCTGTCAATCAGCCAGCTGGGTGGATCTCAACAGTATTATCAAGAACTGACCCGGCTGCGGAGCTCTTAGCAGATAGTTTTGGGTCAGGGGAGGACGTAGTATATGTCTTCCTGTGACCAAAAAGGGAACTGTGGAAAAAAAAGTCACCCCATAGTTCTCCTTTAAAGCCATTTAACAACTATACACTGGAATCTCATATTTTCTTTTACTAATAATGATATGTTATAATTATACAGGATTTATATAGCTCCAAAAGTCTGCTCAGCGTGTTACAATATATGGTAGACATTACAATTACAATACAAATCAAGACATGTTGATAAGGAGGGCGCTGACCTTGAGAGCTTGCAAGCTAAAATAATAATAATAATAATAATATAGTACAACAAAGCTACTTATTAATCAGTACTCAAGCATCTGCCTGTCTCATCTCCTATCATCTACATCCACACAGCCCTGAAATGTATTCATTGTAGCGCTTCACTTTTCCTCGAAGGAGGTGTTACTATCCCGTGCGGGAAACACCCTGCATGTCACCACCTGCACCCACACCGACAACAAAACACCCTGCATGTCACCACCTGCACCCACACCGACAACAAAACACCCTGCATGTCACCACCTGCACCCACACCGACAACAAAACACCCTGCATGTCACCACCTGCACCCACACCGACAACAAAACTACTCCATCGCCTGCAGCGAGCCCCCGGAGGATTCTGGGACATGGAGTCCATCGCGCCGGAAACCGCAATCAGCGGGCAGCGCCTGGAGACTACACTCCCAGAATCCCCCTGGCGGAAAGGCTGCGCATGCGCAGTGCGGTGTGTGGGAGTCCAGTTCCCAGGACTGCTGTGCTGCTGCGATCCGGAGCTCGTGCCGCTGGAAGGTCTGTATGGAATCTTTTGTATCTCTGACGTTCTGCTAAAAGTGTTACATTGTATCCGAACGTTCCGCGGGCGGGTCGTGTACCTGCGGCAACTTCCTGCACGCACCGCGCATCCCGGTGCCTCTGCTGCCGATCGATCGGCCGTGTGCATGAGTTGAGCGAGCTACAGGTTGATGGTCGTTTTTTTTTTTTTAAAGGGATCGCGATCGGGCTGTGTGTGTGTACCATGCGATGTATGTGATGTGTCTTTATGTGGCAGACGCCGGAATTCTGCTATAGCAGAGGTGACTCATGATCGCTTTAGGGGGGTGTTTGTTTGACTATTGCACTTACACTGAGTCTCCAGGGGATGGAAGAGTTCCGCACTCAGTAAATAGATTGCTGCATGTTCATGGCAAGGTTACCTACTACCCACAGCTCATCATTCACAGTCTATAGAAACTGACAGGCAGCGGTACAATATGAGAATTCTATTCAAATATTGAACTGAGATCACTCTGATTTATCATTATGTGTTGTTAACCCAAAATGTCAAACACTGACTCCCCTTAGCAACACTCAGGGTGATCTTCGATGGGTGACTCTCTGTCTATAGCGATCGTGATGCTGGTGATTTGTCGAAGACGCTAAGAAGTCAGCGGTCTGTCCCTATCCAATCGTATCTGTAGCTGAGGCTCCTCAGAGGACCCCCTACCTACCTATGCATGGAAATGGACAACTGACCTTTAGAAGGAAGGTATAATTATACTTCTATGAGCTGCCATGAAATCACCATAAGGAATGCCATCCCAGTCTGGACCATTAGAGAGCGGAGAAGCTTTATATATAATAAAACTGTTTTTAAAGGTGATAATGGATAACACCAGTTCATTAATGGTTGCTGGTAACGTGTCAATACTTTCTACTGGAGGATGTATAATCCCAGTTACTAAGAGGGAGATAGTTCCTATAGACTGACAAATGTAAGGGGCCACATTGGACAAAGGTTCTCTGACTCTAGGGACCTCAGCCATAAAGAGTTCTTTCTCTGACTCTCACTAGGTACATTTGGGCATAAGGAGGTCTGTTGTTTCTCTGACAATCTATGTACCTTTAGCCATAAGGAGATCTGTTCTTTCTCTGACTAGGCACTTTTACCCATAAAGAGATAGGTTCTCTCTCTAGGCACCTTTACCCATAAAGAGATCTATTCTTTCTCTGACTCTAGGCACCTTTACCCATAAAGAGATCTATTCTTTCTCTGACTCTAGGCACCTTTACCCATAAAGAGATAGGTTCCTTCTCTCTAGGTGCCTTTTAGCCATGAGGAGATCTGTTCTTTCTCTGACTCTTTAGGTATCTTTACCCATAAGATATGTTCTTAGACTTTTGTCTAATTCTTAACTATCTCAGACCACAATATCCACCACCCCATCATATTCGTTTTTGTTGAACACATTTTTGCCTTGCCTAGAACTCTGGAGAAAAGCGCAGTGCTTTGATTGGACAGAACAAGTAATGAACTGACTATACCCAGAATTGTTTTCACTATGTCCTTTTAAAAAGATGTATTTTTAGGTTTCAATACTCTTACTATGACTTTAATATGGTGTTTTGATTAGAAGTGTACAGTGATGACATTACAATATGATTCAGCAGAGAATGATATTTAAACAAAAGAGAGAAAATGGCATTCTTTGGCGTTTTCATATTCCAATAAAGCTTTCCGTTGTCCCATAGCTCCATCTGTTTGGTTATTCATTTGTTTTAATAAAACAGAGAAGGATTTGGAACGGCAAGATTCCAGATGAAAACAGGTGCACGGGGAATAGAATGCTTGAGAAAACCGCCGTGTTATTTATTAGAAAATATTCCGGCTGCTTTTCATAGCAATCTTTTCATGAAGAATAAATATTAAAGCTAGGATCGGAGGCTGTGCTCCCAATGCAGAGCAAAGCAGCAGTTTTGCCTAACTGCCGCCTTCCCCAAATCCACAGACTCCCCTTTCCTTTGCTTCCTTGCTCCTCTTTTGGCCACCAAGAGTAAATGGAAATACTCACAAGAGGTACGGTCATCAGACCATTCATTTCAACTAAAAAATCTTTCCAGCTGCATGTAGGGAGGTAAGGAGACCCTTTAGGGCCCATTCACACCCAAATTGGAAGGAAATCGCAAGTCAACGGAGGGTCCATTGACTTGCAGTTGTAACTTCCAACTACTTCCAATCTGTTGTGATCCGTTTTTCAACAGATGCTAATGGAAGGGCACTGAAAAATGAATGGGTGTGAATGGGGCTAGTTCCCACCGGATCTGTTGCGTTATGTTGTGCTGAAAACAAAGTAGTGCATGTTCAACTTTTTTTTTTTCCCAGCGCACCGAAATGTAACGGAGCAGTGTGAACAAGCCCCATTCATTTTGCGGTGCCCTTCCATTAGCATCCTTTGAAAAATGGACCATGACTCAACGGAAGAGGTGTGAATGGACCCTTTGGGAAGCATTTTAGCGTGCTAGTGCGCTGTGACAGCTCTGACAGTGTGTGGCGTCTACTTTGTTTTCAATTTTATTATGTGTACACTCCATTCAGGTCCCCACATAGCAGCGCATGTCTGCATTTTTTCCACAGCTCTGACAGTGTGTGGCGTCTACTTTGTTTTCAATTTTATTATGTGTACACTCCATTCAGGTCCCCACATAGCAGCGCATGTCTGCATTTTTTCC